AGTAGGTTAAAATTTAATAACTATCTTCTAATAACATCCTGAACAGTACGTGCACTAAGATGCATGTTAGGTATTTCTCCAAACACACACACACACACACACACACAGCGATAGTTTTATTAAGGTCGCCCTAAAGTGGGTGAGAACAGTGACCTTCATACCTGGACCGGTTTAGAGAATCTTAAGAGGACGAACTGACCAATGAAAACTATTAACAAAAATTTAGTTAAAAATTTACAAGGAGATAAAATTAATTAGGTTTTAATTTCATATTATTATTTATTCCTCGCAATTCCCCAGCTTTAGCCACGGTCTGATTTACATGTTGTGAATAGTTTTAGCTAATTGTTTTTACGACCGGCCGCCTGCCTGACATCAACCCTCTTTGGGAATGCATTAATCAGTGATGTCTAAATACTCTTAAAGTACATATGAACTCGGAAAATAACATTGGTACTTGCCAGGGTCGAACTCGCGCCCTCGTGCACGAGAAAGAGGCTTTTTAACCCCTAGGACGCCACTGACTTAATTATTATTATTATGTGAAAATGTTCGATTAAATGAAACTAATATTTTTCAGATAACTATGAATATCTTATTATTTTAAAACCACATACTCCAAACGTTTCGGTTACTTTGCAGCAACCGTGATCACGGTTACTGTAAAATAACTTCGCCTTAATAATGACGTCACCTGTTCGCTTACCACATGTTTTCATCACACATACGTATCGTCTGCCGTTACTCATTCAATACTACGTTAATACTATAATGTATGAAGATTAAAAAAAACTATTAACGATCATACGTAGAGTAAGAAAGTAAACCGGGAGTAAGTATATGTTTCTAAGTTTATAATCTTGATATATAAAAGAAAGTCGTGTTAGTTACACTATTTATAACTCGAGAACGGCTGTACGGGTTTGGATGAAAATTGGTGGAGAGATAGATTAGAATGTAGAAAGGACATAGGATACTTATCATTACATCGTAAAAAAAAAATAAGTTGTTAAAATCCACTGTCTTAAATGAGGAATAGAGTTCGCCTGTTCAGCTATACATTTCTAATTCTGAAGCTAACGCAGACAAAGCCGCAGACCAATACTAGTATTAAATATTCTGTTATATAATTTAAGTAATAACTATGTGTGTGTGTATTATTGATCATAACTTATAAACGACAACAAAATGACGTTAACGACGTCATTCATCTCATTGAAGATTACAGCTTCCATTTATGTGTAATATGTTACTTATATAATGAAGTACACTCCAAGAAAATCGTGAAATTATTTGATAATGAAGTGATAAAGTTTTGATAATTTTAAATTATTTTTAATCCTAAATTTGAGTACCGAAGCCACTGCTGAGTGCTGAGCAAAGGCCTCTTCTCACATGGAGAAGATTTGAGCATTAATCATCACGCTTGCTCAAGACGGGTTGGCGATTTCAAACTTATAATTGGATATTATAAGTCCATGTTTCCTCGCGATGTTTTCCTTCATCTGTCAGTGATGTCTTAATACTCTTATAAAGTACATATGACTCGGAAAAATCACATTGGTACTTGCCATGTTTCGAACCCGCGCCCTCATGCACGAGAGGCGGGCCTTTAATCTATACCACCTTAATGAATACTAAAGCACAATACAATGTTTGCTTACTCCAAGTCATCGTCACTACACACGTATCGTTAACAGTATTTCATTAATATCTCCATACATTATAGTATTAACGTGGTATTGAATGAAACGGGAGACGGTACGTGTGTAGTGACGATACAAACTTGGGGTAAGTTCACAAAACTGTAAATGTTTTATTTTTTATCGTCTTGGTATATTATAATGTGTATTCTGAAATCCCTTATAATCCTACTAATATTATAATTGCGAAAGTTTGTGAGTGTGTGTATGTTTGTTACTTCTTCACGCTCAAACGGCTGATCCGATTTTGAAAAAATTTTATATACAGGAAGCTGACGTCCAGGAATAACACATAGGCTACTCTACATTCCAGAAATCTCGGAAATCCCGGAAATCCGCGGATAACACCGCGGTTCGCAGTTAGTATACTATAAAATTAGAATAATTTTTGCTTATTAGTTATTAAATACCCTAAATGAGCATTTATTGAGACTTAGTCAGCTAGCTTTTTTTTAATTTATATGAAAATTCAAATGATTTGCAAAAAATGACATACTCTTTTGGCTCCACAATAAAACGACACTACATACAAACCAACTTGCATGGATAATAATTTATGTATTTTTTGTCTTTTTGTCTTCTAGGAACTAGTAAAAGTGTACCTAATTTAAGACTTAAGAAAAAAAATCATCTATTCCATTAGGCAAAATCAACGTGTTTTCTACATACAGAAATCAAAATTATAATTCGTTCAATAAAAAGGACGACATTTGCCGTTTGCATAATAATATCATATTACAATCCCAATATGAATGGAAGCCATAGGATAAATTTAAAAAGTACTAAAATACGTGATGCAAAAGTATATTAACGTCATTAAATTTATTCCTATCAATAAATACAGTAATATTTTTAGGAATTTCTCAAAAATAAATGAAAACTTACTAGTGGAAACTTAAAAATAAACGAATTAATTTCCAAACCGGACGCAAAGATAACGCTAATGACGCTACAGGCATTGCAAAAGAACTGAGTCTCATTCAGACACGGATGTGTTTATGACTCAATATTATGCAAGCTGTATTGAGGACAGTCTTAAAACAAGAGGATTTCCTAACAGAAAACCCAAGTACTATAATGAATAGATATGAGACTACCTATAGTTTGTGTGGATTAAGAATATTACAATTCTTTAAACTTCAAACCAAACTAATTTACACGCAAAACTTTTAAACATCAGTAATACTAATACAAGATACAGATCAAGTAAAACACTAAGTATTTATTATATTTGCATATTAAAAATACGACGATTAGTAGACTGTGCAATTTAAATTTTGGCCTAAAAAATCCAAAAAATATTTGTTGTATTAAAAGACAGCATGGTATGAGATCTAAGTATGTCCAAATGGACGAATTGTGAAAAAAATAAACCAATAAGAATCCAATATAATAATATTATTATTTTTATACATAATTTGGAATATTTCTCTCAATTATTTAACTAAATAAAGTCAAACATAGTAGTGAGTCAATTTACCTAGATGTTTTTATAAAGGATCCGTATGCACCACTTAATATATGGCGTGCTGTATACAGATAGACAAGTCAACCGTTACAGATTTTTAAGTTAAATGCCGACTTTACTCTGATACCTTAATTTATTTCAATATTTCAATATTTATATGAAATATTTTACGTTAACTCAAAGAAACTTTTGAAACTTAAGCCTTATATGACACATTCAGTACGTCTTCTAAACTTGTATAAACGCGCATATATTAAAGTTTTATGTTAAACTTATAATTAAAGCTTATTTTTCTAATTGGGTTAAAGAATTTCACTTACCGTAGATCAGCTGTTGGAAACTGTTTTGAATTTCGCGAAAGACAACGCACTATTAACTTATTACCTACACGAAACTTTCACCACACACTGACACGAGTTCCGTTTATTCACTGTAGATTAACACAATAATTTTGATGCGTGCTAATTATAATATTTTATTTAATATAATTCACAAGATATAAAAAGTGGTTAAATTAATTTTTATTACGGAAATAACAGTCATTTTAGTCGAGAACATGCGCGCAACACTTTCTGTATTCCACTAGACTGACGCGACTCGCTAGTTGGTCGTCCGTGTGTTAGAAAGGGACATGAGATACCCATCCCGTTTAAAAGAAAGTGATAGATATAGGGTGTCATGTAGCGGTAATTTTTTTCGCCTTTCGCGCTCAACTTTCTAAAACATCTAAAGTAATTTCTGATTTATTAAGATTTTTGGTTGATATTTTCAATATTATATAGTAACCAAATAAGCAACATACAGTTTGGTTGATACTTATTTTTGTTCAGCATCTATGAAAATCAATTAAACCGTGTTCAGTGAAATACGTTATATCATTAATTTTTATGTGCATGGTGTTTATAAAAGACCTTTCAAAACTTAGTTTGTAATAATGTATATTAAGCCAATACTTAATTTTTCCATATTGTGTTTTTAAATTATTTACGGACAGCATTACAATAACAACTTTGTTGTTACTTCAATAATTTCGACTCTCATAGACGTGGCTCGTTGGTCTAGGGGTATGATTCTCGCTTCGGGTGCGAGAGGTCCCGGGTTCAAATCCCGGACGAGCCCAAGTATATCTTTTTATTTTTATCAAACATATTCTGGAAAATTACAACACCATAGAAAATGTTAGAAATTTTAACATATCCTAATAATGTTTTTACATGAATAAAGAAATAAAAAAAAAAGTCTCGTTTTGACGATAATATGATTTCCGCTTATTGCAGCGACATCTATATTTATTAGTTGGTAGTAATTAATAACGTGTACACTAAATTGCGTCAAAAAATTTTGTAAGAATTTATAGATCACACTTAATTTAATATTTTTTTGGTTTTTAAACTGTCCAATTGTTAAATAATATATACAAACTGTAATCTAGTCGCATATTTTACAATTTGAAAGAAAGATCCATCTTGCGGTGAAATATTATAACTGAGAATTAAAATAGGTGGCGTTGGTTTACAAACAAATGTATGACCCTACTAAATTGAAATGATACATATCTCAATGAAACTGGTATAACTGGCTTGCATTTTACATTTGGTCACATAAAACACCAGGTGTTCCTAGTACCCCCTCGCCGGTTTCCCCTCTTAAGTTATCCGACACAAAAGTTCAGACCAAACTTGTAAACTTTATCGTAAATATAGTTAAGTGTTTTTCCTTATGTTGTGAGCGTTTAGAATGTAGTGTTAGTGCCAAAACATTTGAAACTAGTAGCATTTAGTTATATAAGTATTTACTAAGCCAAAATAGTGAAACTATTGTGATTTATTATGTCAACTTCGAGTGGTAGTAGTTCCTCCCAAAGCCCCCCGACTATGGCCTCTATTAGTGATGTTAGCGCATTATTTCAAACAGCAAAAAAATACGAAGAGCTCAATGTTATCGGAACAGGTATATAAGTATTAATTCACATAAAATCTAACCTAAATCAAATACCATGTGCCGGCGCATTCAAATTATGTTTTCGCGCATTTTCAATATATTATTATATATTACGTTACATTTAATCATTGTTTATATTTATGGATATAATAACAAGTTATTTCAATCGTTGATTTTTATTTTTAACTCGTTTTGTTATTAAAAAGTCGCTGAACAAGTTTCAATGTCAGCCTGTCCTTCCTTCATTGAGTTCTCATTTTTGGTTTGTATCAAGCGGAAGTGTAACAATTAGTCCGTGGTAGAAAGAGATAAATATAAGATTCTGTACACTTCAATGGTTCAGAAAGCTGATCTTGATTTAATTCAGATCGAAAATGAGCTTAATTTCATTAGTTATAAAGTTTAATTTGTCTTGATTTATAATTATTGTTTTATGTAAAGATAACATGCTCCAACTTAAAATTACTTGCAACTTACAAAATATTTATAATTTATCAACTAGGTATATATAGTTCATATATTAATATTGATAAATTTGAAACATATTTTCACCTTAAACTCTTTGAGATATTATAAGTAAATGGCTGAATAGAATTTATTAAAAATAACTAATATTTTTAAGCCAATGAAGATTCCTAGCATCAATAATATAATTTTAGGTGCATATGGTACTGTATACAAAGCTAGAGATCTTCATAATGGTGGTCAGATAGTTGCGATGAAGAAAGTCAAAGTAGCATTAACTGAAGATGGTATACCTTTATCTACATTGAGGGAGATTGCCTTGCTACGACAACTGGAGGCATATAGACACCCTAATATAGTCAGGTATGTGTTATTATAGTTTTATTCTTTATTCTCAAATATAAAATATTTTCTGTAAATTAAATTACACTAAAAGTAATTATTGTTGGCTAAATCAGTGCTTCCTTAAGAATTGTTGTGGCCTACTTACATGGAGTCTTCAAATTAGCATATTTGCCCCAAATATATTAAAATGTATGTTTAAATATTCCCATTCATGCTTAGGATTACAAACATGACTTAAAAAATACTGAAATGATCACAAATTCTCAAGCTATGTATAAAAACTAGATTTATTTATACAATCATGACTTAAAAAATACTGAAATGATCACAAATTCTCAAGCTATGTATAAAAACTGGATTTATTTATACAATCATGACTTAAAAAATACTGAAATGATCACAAATTCTCAAGCTATGTATAAAAACTGGATTTATTTATAAATATTGTATCTAATATGTTGCTGTATATATTTTCCAGGCTTCTGGATGTATGTCACGGAGGCCAATCATCAGAGCGTGATCACCAATTAGTGTTGTTCTTAGTCTTCGAGCATGTTGAGCAAGACCTGGACTCATTCCTAAAGCGAGCACCGGGACCGCTGTCCGAGAACAGAATAAGAGTAAGGAAAAAACAGCTGTATATAGAATGATATGATGTACCCGATATAAAATGAATTAGATTAATATACTATCGTCCTTGCCGTTAATTATATAGATTTTATCTCCATACTGCTTACTGGCACTTATTTAACATATAATAATATAAATATATTTATAATACGATATATTGATGATGTATAAGGGCCAATGTGCAAAATGACAATTGTACAGTAGAGGTTTTAAGTTTGATTTCATTATATTTTATATGCGACAACTGACGCTTTTGAAACTTTGTATAGCAACTATGACATGTACATCATTTAAGCTTGATAAACTTTTTGATGGAGTTCAAAGCAACAAAATGAAAATGGCTAAATTGAAAGAAAGAAAGAAAGAAAATGTTTTATTTGTGAACATCTTTGCGAGACAGCATTAATATAAACAGAAATAAAAAACAAAAACATAAAATAACAATACAATTAAATAATATCTAATGAACGCTATAGTATAGAAGGTACAAATAAATCAAAACAAAATGCTGCCTACACAGTTGCTACATTGGCGCTTATACATAGACTCATCGATTTTTATACTCCATACTTATAACCCTGTTATTTTTCAGAGCATGTCATATGACATTCTGTCCGGAGTAGATTTCCTCCACTCACACCGTATCGTGCACCGTGACTTGAAGCCTCACAACCTGCTAGTTACCTCAAACGGTCGCGTTAAACTGGCTGACTTCGGACTGGCTAAGACTTATGATACAGAAATGAAGCTGACCAGTGTGGTGAGAGCTTTATTGACTTGGAACTTCTTATACTATCTTTGTTTTTGCATTATGTTATATAGATGTTCTTACATCAAGGAGTCAATAATAATAATCGTCATCATCCTATCAGAGCCCACTGTTGAATAAAGGCCTCTCACATGGAGAAAGTTGAAGCATTAATCACCAATGCTCAAGAAGGGTTGGTGATTTCAAACTTTTAATTGTGAAATTACAAGTCCATGTTTCCTAACAATGTTTTCCTTCATCAGTCAGTGGCGTCTAAATACTCTTACAAAGTACATATGACTCGGAAAAATCACATTGGTACTTGCCTTATGCACGAGAGGTGGGCCTTTTACCACTAGGCCACCACTGTCACCTGTAATATATCAATAAGTGACAACCCTAACCTTTCTAAACTATCAAACTATCAGGTGGTGACCCTATGGTACCGCCCCCCCGAGGTGCTCCTAGGCCTCTCATACAACACAGCTGTGGACGTGTGGTCCGCAGGCGCTGTTCTGGCTCAGCTCCACACTAGGACTCCGCTACTGCCTGCTAGCTGCGATTCTGAACAGCTGCATGCTATATTCAGGTATGTAATTGGCAATTTTAATGTGACCTTTTTGTTTTTCCTTTTATAATAGAGATAGAGATCTTATAAATTAGTCTTTATAATTGAACTAAAAAACCAAGTCATACAACGCATTTGCAAAGATATGTTGTAGATGTCTATGGCTGACGGTGACTACTTTCCATCATATAGGCCATCTGCCCTTTTGTCCCTTTGACAATAAAGATACAAATAATTGCAATATTATAGATGTCTGTCCGGATTATTATTCTGGTGTTTATTATAAATTTCACTCCTTAATCATAATTACTCCTTGATAATAGTGGCTCACAGAGGGAATTCTCTGTATTTAAATGTTACCATTATTTATAAACTATTTCCTGGGACGATTATACAAAACTATGATTGTATCAAAATATGTTGCCACCATCAACCGACTAATATAATATTAACAGCATAATATAATATTAACTAATAATATTTCAGACTGATAGGCCGTCCACCTCGAGAGGAGTGGCCGGCTGGTGTGTGCATCATGGCTGAGAGCTTCCCCGACTACCCTCCCAAGGACCTGGCCTCCGTCTTGCCCAGGGTACATCCCCACGCACTGGACCTCATTAAGGTAATAAGAGGTTGCCCTGTCGCTAACAGATCCGGGGTACATCGACATAGCGGCCGATAGCTTTCGCAGTGGTTTTAGTGAGTAGGGGCCTGCCCAGGCCGAGCTTCACACATCCCTTCCGGCCCCACCAAGGCCGGTTGGACGGCTCGTAAAAAGAATTTCCCTGTGACCAGTGGCGGCTGGTGGGTTATAAAACTTGTGGTGCACTTTACTAAAATATTAAAATTATAAAATGCAACAAAACATAACGAGATGTCAATCATGGCTCAATTCGTCATACATCGGGTACTCTCGGTAATGTTCGGCCGCTCGTGCGGCGCTCGAGAACCGACTCATTACTCGGTACATTTCTATGAACTATCTTTTGTTTCACGCGTCAGGCGTATTAATGCGTATCTCATACCAGATGTATTAGCAGTCCTCGTACACTCGCCGAAGCGCACGAGATATTAGTTTAGTAAAGCTTACAAACTTTTTGACTATAATTAGAAAACTTAATTTTTTATACCTGTTTGTATGTTTAAAAAATAAATATTAAAATGGTAATTTAAAAATAAAGATGAAGTAATATTTTGTAATTTTTTAAATCTTTTGAAGTGGTGGTTCAGCGCACGAGTGCACTTAAGGTACAGCTGCCACTGCCTGTGACATAAAAAAAAAAAATAAGAGGTTTCTTGGACTATTTCCACATAGCTATATGCCATCAGTTCGTCAGGTTTAAACAGGTTATTCATACTTACTGTATTTGATGACCTGATACCTTTAACTCCTGACTTCTGACTGCTAATGAAGAATATATGTCGTTTTTTGTATGACAAAGGTGGCAAACGAGCAGACGGCCTACCTGATGGAGGTAGTACCGTCACCTATTGATATACGAAATATATTTTTGTGGATGCGTTGCCACCCTTAACTGGGAAAAAGGGAAAGAGCAACCATCTCTGTCACTCATCGGACGAAATGCAGCAATTAAACTCTACTTCACGCCGATCTTCTGTGAGAGGGTGGTACTTCCCCGGTCGAGCCAACCCATGTTAGAGCTATTATAACTAGACCACAGCTAGGCTCTACTTTTAAAAGCTTTCATTTCATGACTTTAATACATTATGTTATTCCTCAGGGTATGCTAGTCTTCGATCCGGCCAAACGTCTCACAGCCTTGGACTGCCTCGAGCATCCATACTTCACTGAAGAACCCCTCAACTAGACATACATACATGACTGTATAGCCAACGAAACAAGATATAAAATGTAAACAAAATTTGTTAAAAAAAACAATTTCTGTTTATACATTCTAAAGGTAATTTAATCTTCATCGTCAATGAGAAAATATCTATGGATTTCAATATAAAAATTGATATAATTAATTGTATCAACACATTAATCACAGAGAGTTTTTTATTTTATTTACAAAATTTATCTTGTTTCGTTGTCCTTAAATGACTTATTGTTTAAATACTTCTCAATGCATAAATTGACAAATGGTCTCACATGTTGTAATGCTTACATTTTTTTACATATAGTATATACACTATAGCTCAGTCGTTAAACTGACGGTGAGCATTAAGTCGCAGGTTCGAACCCGTTCCTTACATATAAAATATCTTTAAGATAACTAGATAGTTAACAAGTGCCTTAGTTATAAGATTATGTTTAGTTTTTTAGAATTTTTTAATGTGCCCACCAAACTGTAACCATATATATTTTTGTAAGCTGTTTTCTTTGAGATGGACAACCACCATCCGTCCCTGTTATATAATAAAAAAAATTGAATTCAACTATTTTTATAAGATCTTATGTTCCTTAAATAAAAATAAGGTATGAAATAAGAAATGATTACTGACTTTTATTGATGTGTGTGAGTGAATGGGTCAGTGAAATATTCCAAGATAACTTTGTAACTGGTCATATAAGACAAAACCTCTCATTATTCAATGTATTCACGGTGCGTGTGTCGGGTCCATCGTTGTAGTGAGAGGAGCTTCAACAGTGACTGGGACTTGCGACCCAGGTGTGGGTTTAAGACCTATCTAACGAGTGTTATGTTACTTGAAAAATACTATATTTTAATCAACTTTCTAGAAAATTCTTGATTACTAATACAGATTATATAACAAAGTTGCATACAACAAGTTAGAGTTAACCTTGTGCTCATATTTAACTGTAACTTTAAAATACTCATTAATTTAATAGATTACAGACAATAGTTAATTTGAAAAAAGATCATAAAACTTCTAAATATTCCAGTATTTCACATAACTAATGTATTTTAAATATTCCTTAACTTCCATATTAGATTTTTATTTATTTACTAATGACGTCATTATTTAAACAGTTAAAGGTTCCTTTTCTCATACATTTTATAATTTAACTCATTTTTATTTAAATGACATCTCACACTGGTTATACCAAATTTGTATTATATTATATTAAGACTACATCACGTCTATATCCATAGCTTCGTTCTTGAACTAGATAGCGAATAAAATAACCAAACTAATTCTGCACTTGAACATGTCAATGGAGAAAATGTTTAAATATGGACACTGGAATTTATTCTACATTTATTTACCTTAAAGATTAGGATCTAACGTTGTACTGTGTCAGTCAGTGGTCGCCTAGAGGTTAAAAGGCAAGATTCTAATGCACGATTGCGCGGGTTCGATCCTCGCCTGGGCAAGTACCAATGTGATTTTTCCGAGTCATATGTACTTTATAAGAGTATTTAGACACTGATTATTGCATTCCCAAAGAGAGTTGATGTCGGGCAGGCGGCCGGTCGTAAAAACAATTAGCAAAAACTATTCACAACATGTAAAGCAGACCCTGGCTAAAACTGGGAAATTGCCAGGTAGAAGAAGTTGTACTCTGCGTGTTGTGTCTATGATGCACTCCTACTAAAGGTACTCTTTTCCAACAGTTGAACCTTTACAAGTCCGTTTAAATTCTATTCATAATTTCATAACATCCCCAGCCTTCGATATTCAATAGTACAAATGAAAGTTATAATTTGTCAATCAATCATTATGCTTATTTAATAGGTCCCAACTAAATTAGGCCTTAAAATAATATCATTATTTTTTGACTTTGGACATAATATTTAAATCAATTGCTTAGGTCTTAATATCCTTGACAAATGATAAAACGTGTGGTTTGAAATCTCGTATACGTAAAACTAGTAGCTGTCGAAATTTTGTGTTTTTTTTTTTATATATAAAGTCCTTTAAAATTTTAAAACTCACAATGTATTCAACAGTAATATGAAATGAAAATATTGTTAGTTTGATGTCAATGTCACTTAGCAATTCATTTAAGGAATGGCGCGAAATCAAGAATTACAGATTTAATGATTTTTTTAAATGTATTTTGATTTAAAAACTTATTTATATCTTCCGTATGACCACTATACATATTCCTTTAAATCGTCACCCTACTTACGAAGCGTTCGCCGTTTTTCACTTCATAACGTATGTTTCATACTAGGTCGGAGAATTTGAATGAAAACTGTTAACGGTCTTCTTGTACTGTAACGATTCAAACTTAGGACAAGCATACAGGTCCATAAATAATTATGAATTTATTAGGATCACTTAATAGAAATAACAATGGCGTAGACATAAGCATGCTTTTTTAAATAATTTGTAACCAAATATCACTTTATGGAGCGTATGACCGAATGCGGTACAACCTAATGACAATATTTTTATAATTACATATTTGGCAAAAACATTTTTTCAAACTCTTATTAAATTATCGTGATTATTCTTTAATGTAAATTTGAATATTATAAGCACTGTTCCATTATATTTGTTATTTTTTAAATGGTAATAATGAAATTCGTGCGAAAATATATTTTTTTATGCACAATGTTGTCTTGTTATACATGTTTTACTTGACATATTGTAAAAAAATTTATTAATAGAAATAAAACAAACAAAATATAATACAGAATGTAATAAAAAATTTATAAAACCTTTAATAGTTAAAAACATAGTGTTGCTATATCCTAAAACAGGAATTCCCTTATTTATTTACGTATCACAAGATATATATTGAGTTATTTAAGTATTGGGGTAAAATAATAAGTCTGTTTAAAATAATCACATAGAATATACATCATTTGAGTTACTTCAGTTAAAAAAACTATACATTCACAAGTTTATAAAAACAAGATTACAAATTTAAGTGATATAATTTATTCATATAACTTAAGTTTTAAATATCATTTTCTTATTATTTATCAAAACGAATATACAAAAGATATAATGTTTATAATTGATCCATATAATTATTATCCATATAATTTTTTGGTCTAATTTAATTCATTTCGAAATATCATACATTTGAAAATAAAAAACAAACCAGCGGTATTACCTATGTATGTGATATGTATTTGTAATCTGTAAATGGTCCTAACATAGATCTCCATTAATTTTAGGTAAACTGCAATGGCGGCCGTCATGGCGAAATTTCGTGGGAAAACTGTGACCTTAAGTTTAACTAAATAGTAATCTCAAAATCATTGATTGTATAAATGAAACTAATATTTTCGGATTTCCTACGTGATTTTTATTTAACTTTAAACTACATACTCACATAGTAACACACATCTCGTCTGCCTGTGATCACGGTTGCTGTAAAGTAACCGAAACGTCGGGAGTATGAAGTTTATAGTCAAAAATAAAAACGCGTAGTAAATCCGAAAATATTAGTTTCATTTAAATGAATACTCCCAAAAATCTTAGATCTCATTATCATTGATTGTGTATAAATATCTATTTCTATAAAACACAAGCTTTCCTTTAATCGTCACGCGTCATTACATATTCGTTTTATTTTCACTTGTTTCGTTATTTTCCGCGTTGGATTCTTGAGTTTTTTTTCGGAAATTGAATATTTTGTCGAAGTTTATATTGTTTTGATTGTATACTGTGTGGTCGGAAGCGTCTCCCCAGCTGACGGGTGTGGTTCGGGCTTCTTTTGGGTCTTTTGTATCTGGTGCTGTGGCAACAGTGCTAGCTACTTCGGGAATAGGATTGAGGATTGATTCTGAATGAACACTAGGCGTCATATCGTTGGAACCCTCGGCGCATCTGTTCAGGAAGTTCATCATCCTTTCCTTGTAACATTCTGAACTGGTTTCCGTCTGCTTCATCTTATTATTCTGATTCTTCAAGTAAAAACCGTTTTCGCTCTGTGCGAGGAATATCCTTTTAATTTTTCTGCTAGGATAGTTATCTATGATGTTCGGTTTGGTTATTTTTCCATTCATGGGCATCTTTTTTGTATTATTACCTTTGATCTTCGTGATAACAGATACGCAGTTACCTCGTCTGCTGTCTTCCTCCTTGTAACTGTTCCTCATGCCTTTGTATGATATTTTCATGCTCAGTATTGACCAAAGTAGCTCCAAGAACGACGCTATTAATATATTAATACATAAAACTCTTTTAGTAAACATCTTCGAATCCTCCTCCTTAAACTCCGTGGAATTCCTCGGTATGATGAAATGCGATTCATTTCTATCGAGTACATCTGAATGTTTAATTACAATGATGTCGCTGAATGGTATTTTCTCTTTGTAGAAATCTGACAAATCGTTCTCGCTGGTCAACAGGAGAAATATTATCATAACAAAGGAAATTAGAGAGAAAAGTGTCGACAGTGTTGACATAACAAACAACCACGTTATGTTCCTATCGATGTACCACCTCACTGAGGCCAGGATAGAGGCGACACCGGCTGCTAGGGCGAATATAGTGACCAGGCTCGGCGCCAGTATTAGTATAAAACCATTCCTGACATCTTCTGATATAGTAGAATTATTTATAGCTACGTCAGTCTCAATGGGTTGCTTGTTAGGGTTGATCAAAGCCAGACAAGCCAGTAAAAAGGATGTTGAAGCCAATGCAATATGCACCCACGCCAGCCCTGACACGGTAGAAGCTGAGTAGCGTCTCTCAGATGGATACAAATTGCGAGTATCGGGTTTTGTTTTCACTTTAATTGTATACACGTCCTCCATTTTATAACTATGACATATCTTACACAGGCACTGATCTCTTCACGTAATGCATTATCATATTAAAGTTTTATTCACAACATATTAATATGCCAAGGTTATTATAACTTTTAACGTCTTTTTTTATCAAATTCTTCGAGTGAACGCAACTCGTGCGACTGTCATTCAAACGAATACTGGTGTGAACTAGCGACGTACTGTGTGGCCATCTATAAATTCAAAGGTTACACTGGATAGTGGATAGTTCATACTTCAAGCAAATTTTGCATGAAACAGTGTAATATATACGAATTAATAAATATATTGCTATGGTATGTCTGTCTGTAATATCAAATTAATATTACAGAATAAGTGCTTATACAGGGTGACTGGTGAATTACTATCAATATTTAAGGAGAATACTCGGTACATGATTCTCATTCGAATTATGTAAAAAAAATAGGTACTTAATTTTTGACCAAATTTCCGTATAAATAAATAGTGTTGACACGTTCCAATTGTTCCAAGTGTGGACGCGTGCGGCGGCGTGCTGATACAACACCACGCCGCCGCACGCGTATGTGTGTGTGAGTGTATACCTAATCTGTAGGGTGTTCACACGATGCGTAATTAATTACATAACTTTTGGTTAACTTTACTTAGAAGTTTATTAATATTTATGTTATATTAATTTTTATTTTGTCATATATGATCGTCAAATATCACGTCCTCAAGTATCGATAGTAATTCACCAGTCACCCTGTATTATATGCTATATATGAACATTTTTGGAAAAATAATTATTGAACCATTCTTTTGTTATAACAATATGAACTTTTCACAAATCACTACCATAAATATAGGGAAACCGTTTTTAACTGGCAACACTTGTTATAACCGACTTTTATGATGACGTAGGAACAGGTATATTATAATGAACTTTATCTCAATCAACTAAAGCATATTTTTAATTATCATACCATCTAACAACATGTTCCTAGTCCCAAGTATGTATCAAGATAGATTGATACTCTTATATTTTATACAAAAATAACTCTTATTGTAATGGTTTAAATTCTAAATTTGTTTGAAGATTAATATAATAGTTTTGTACTTAATAATAAGTCATACGTCTTAATAGAAGTATCCATGCAAAAAAATTAAAAACATTGATTAGTTGTCGGGTGGAGATACGTTAACGGTTTCTAAAATTATTTTATGAACGTTTATTAACAGTAATGTGGCACAGTTATGAGTAATGTAGACTTGGTTGTTTTTAAATTTTAACACTTTTGCTGTTTGACAATAATTATTTAATAAGGTTAAAAACTTATATTTATTATTGATTCGATGAACAGATTATGAATGTATAATTATAAGCGACTTAAATTACATTATTTGGTTGTTCAGAAAGAATTCATGGCGTTCTTTTTCAAGTTGCAATTGTATCGTTGAAAAAAAAAACAGATAAAAAAATCAAACCGGTGTCAAGGAATATTGTTATTGTACTTTAAAATTGTTATTGGTATCTTTATTTTTGATTCTTTTTGTACACTAAACTTTCCGTAGAAAGCTGATTTATATTATTAAAGTAATCCTTTACAAGTTATTCTAATATACAAAGAAAATAACAGTAAAAGAGACTGTTTATTATTAGCATAAATACCCAAAGCTATCTTTAATATGACCTCGCCCTACGGGTCACCAAAAAAAACTGCAAACCTTGTACGAAAACCTTCAAGTTAACTTAAAATACGTGAAAAATTTAAAATTCACTTAAATTATGAATATTGCATAAAAAATTCACAAATCGCGTGCTTGTATTGCAATTTTTTGTCACGATTTTTGGCAGACATTTTTTATGGGGACGTGAATTTACTGTCATTTTTATAATATGTCAAAAACACTTTTTGTTGTTAAAATTAGATACTAAAGTTTTACCTGTATTTCGTTGTATTTTCATCTTAATTTGTTATATCAGATATAATAAGTTTTAAATAAGATATATAGACTTTAATAACATTAGTAGGAAGTTATTACAAGGTCGTTTTAACAAGACATTGTGTGAAGCGAACTCGCTTGGTAGATAACTTTTCTGTTTTAAATTCTTCAATTGTCTAACAAATGATGTGTTAGTAACTCATTGTTAAAAGTTCGATGACTGGTACTAGTTTTTGTTGTGTGGATTTTTGAGGTTTTTTGCTTGTTTTAATTTAGGTACTAATAAATTTTTCCCGCGCATTCAACTTGATGTCATTGTGTTAGTATAAAAATTTTAACAAGTGAATTTTATAACATTGAAAATTTATTAAAGTTATTTGAATTTTATTAAATAAATATTTGTTTTATTATCCTTGATTCATATAAGTGTTTCGTAGCAAATATAGAAAATGTGTGAGAAATAGACAAGAACGCTTAGTTCATGGGAAAAAATATATGTGTATTTTATAAATATATTATTTTCTGTTTATTGCTTCATTATTCTCACAAATCTTTATATATATATATATATATATATATATATATATATATATATATATAATTCTTCTGTGAGTGTGTATGTCACTGAACTTCTCTTGACATATAACTAGTTTCTATAAAGCTAGAATATAATATAAAGCTTCAATGACATCAAAATGACATCACACAGTCGTGAACATGACTTGCAGCCATTTCGTGTATTTATAGTAATTATATTATGTGTGTCGAATGTTAAGATATACTAGCTGTGACCTTAGTATGGTCTTTACTCTTATACCGAAATGTCATTTTTGTGTACACTACACACGGAGAGTTACGAGTTTTTTCATATATAATAATTACCACTGGTTATAAAATGAGAAACGGAACACATCTCGTATGTAGAGTAAAGACGCAAAATAATTGTAAGCATACTGACGTTTAAATAATATATCTTATACATTTGTATTTGTAAAGACTTGTGAACAAAATCTTAGTAACTAATGAACTTAATAAACTTTAGTACGAGTTTGAGTATTCGATTTGATACGGAGTCAAAAGCCAAAAAGTGCGGTTTCATAACATACTCCGTATACATTAATACTTACAGTCTTTATGTCAACACAAACCCGTTCTAAGGACGAGTTTAATTTCTACTTCTTGTGACTTCGTTGAAGTTCCAGTAGTTATAAATATGTAGTAGGTACAATGACGTTAAAGCATCTATTAAGTTGTTTATTATCAGATACATAGCCACTTTATTATGATTTACAGTATGTAATCTGTACCATCTTAACTCGTTTATATTGCGTAACTCAAAACAGACGGTGTGTGACGGTGTGAAGTTCTACGTGTGCTGTGATATACATGAGTCACTGCAAAACTGAACTTGTGGTAAGAAAACCGAAAGATTATGGTTTTACAAGTTGCAGAAAAGGTGGAATTAGATTAAGAAAATATGCAATAACACGGCCTTTAACGCACTCTTTCTTGTATTTAAGGAAATTCATTTAATCTGTACTAATATTATAAAGCTGAAGAGTTTGTTTGTTTGAAAGAGCTAATCTCCGAAACTACTGGTTCGACTTGAATAATTCTTTTTGTGTTGGATAGTCCAGTTATCGAGGAAGGCTGTGAGCTATATAACATCACGCTACGACCAATAGGAGAAAAGATATAGTGGTAAATGTGTAAAAAACAGGAGAAATTATTTCATCTTTAAGCCTTCCGTTGCGTGCGCCGTGAAAACGGTTCAAGATACACAAAAAATATGTATTAAAGAATAATAGCTCTTTTAATGATCTAAAAAACAGTCTGCGACAGTATATGTCTATCTTTTAAGATTAACTCACAAAAACCGTTTTTATGGTACCTAATTTTGTCGAAATAATTTGTTTAAGTTGTATCAAAATAATAATATAAATCTTTATTCATATAAACAAATAAATATGTTGTTGGTTAAGAGTACTTCATTATTAATTAAAAAAAACATGGGTTTCATCCTGAAAATTCTACGGGAACTCGACCATTCCGAAAACCCCGCAAGAACGGGAACTATGTGGGAAGAACCAAAAATCTGTCGGAAGTAACTATTCCACGCGGACGTAGCCGCGGCAAAAGCTAGTATATACATACATAGAGATTAGAGACAAATCCTATCTTCATTCAATGTATTCACGGTGCGTGTGTCGGGTCCATCGTTGTAGTGAGAGGAGCTTCAACAGTGACTGGGACTTGTGACCCAGGTGTAGGTTTAATATATATAGAGAGACGAAACCTCTCATCATTCAATGTATTCACGGTGCGTGTGTCGGGTCCATCGTTGTAGTGAGAGGAGCTTCAACAGTGACTGGGACTTGTGACCCAGGTGTAGGTTTAATATATATAGAGAGACGAAACCTCTCATCATTCAATGTATTCACGGTGCGTGTGTCGGGTCCATCGTTGTAGTGAGAGGAGCTTCAACAGTGACTGGGACTTGTGACCCAGGTGTAGGTGTAAGGGAACCTATCTAACGCTCTAAATTCTTTAATATAAGTCTTTAATTTTTTACAATCGAAAAGGAATTTTGCTGAGATAGTTTCTTTTGTTATGAATTCTAAATCTAATGACAGACCACATGAGAACAATAATGCGTATCTCAAATGGGTTTAAGATAGTAAGAAAAGTATTATAACTCGTTTTCGAAGAAGCTATCTAAGGAATTTCGACTTAAGCTTAGCTTATAAAGATCAAAAAATAATTTTGTCTTGTTTCAACTACAAAACTTAATTGTAACATTTCATTGAATCATAAAGAAAAAACAACAAACAGCTCACCTACAATAAACATTAAATGTAATTTTAATATTTTTTATTGAAAACTTAGGAAATCCCATCTTTTTGAAAGTCGATTCCAATTATCAATTTCAATGTTAGCAACACCTACTTAATTATGAAATTTTTTACAACTTTTTATTTATTACTTTATTGTCTATAAAGTGGTTCATATATCAGTTTATATTGTGTTTTAAATAATGTAACGAACGTAAAATAAAAATGACAGCTTAAGATCACGCTTACGGGTCTTCATTCATAAAAAAACCGGTATAATTTTACATAATTACTTAACAACCTGTGGCGGTAATAAAAAATCTGTGAAAAATATATTATTAAATACAAAAAAGGCATTATTTACACAATGAGTGAAATATTCAAGCTTCAAATATATTCTTTTATAATATACATATGTAGCTTATTTGTACATCCTGAACGTAATATCATAGTTGTACGTACATACCTACAGTCTAATAGTTTCATATAAGACTAATGTCTTCCTGAGTTTCACCTATCACAACGCTACATCAAACAAATAACATTGTTTCAAATTTTATTGTTATACAACTTACATAATAATGTGTGTGTGTGTGTGTGTGTGTGTGTGTGTGTGTGTGTGTGTGTGTGTGTGTGTGTGTGTGTGTGTGTGTGTGTGTGTGAATGTAGCTTTATCCATCTGTCAGATGTCAACTGACACCATTAAAGATGAGTCAGCTTACTTCAAGTTTCATCGTCACTACACACAAATGAATAGTTTGTAATTTGTAAATTTTGTCATTATAGTATTAACGTAGGTTATAGAATGAGAGACGGGAAAAGGTTCTTGTATGACGAGAAAATTCCTGCTAAACATATGCTTCGGTCTTAAATTAAACTGTCAAAAATGTTAAAAACTTGATAAAAATGCTGTGATTGTCTCAAAAAGTAAATATGAAATAGCTTTTTAATTAAATAAACTTTTTTGATAAATACATATTTTTGATCTATCGAAAAAGGTTACATATAGCTATATTTTAAATCGATTAATCAAACGTCCAAAGCTGAACGGCCATCGCGTGATAAACGACATTTAAATCAGTGACGCGGTGTTTGTTTAATGGCTGCAATATTAAATATATTTCTTATATAAGGAAATCTGTATATGTGCTTTAACAACATGCCATGAAGTAAAAATATTGGTAATAATAAGTATTTTATTGTATAAATAACTTTAAAGTTATAACGGTTGTCAATAATTTGAAAGAAAATTTGCAATAACTTTTTTGTTGGCATATGATAATGCAGCAAAAAATATATTTCTAAATGTTTACGTCACGTGTTTTAAAATGAAAGCAAAGAATCCATTAATCATCAAAATCACGACTAATTATAATTTAAAAGATTACTTGACCTGTATTTTATATTGTTGTTTGTATATGAATAAGCTGTATAAGTTTTAAGCTATATGTACTTATAGCTTTTGCCCCGACTTCCGGCAGATTTTTGGTTCTTCCCACATAGTTCCCGTTCTTGCGGGGTTTTTGGAATGGTCGAGTTCCCGTAGAGTTTTCAGGATAAAACCTATGTTTTTTTTATTCACAATGAAGTACTCTTAACCAACAACATATTTATTTGTTTATTTGAATAAAGATTAATATTATTATGTTGATACAACTTAAACAAATTATTTCGACCAAATTAGGTACCATTAAAACGGTTTTTGTGAGTTAATCTTAAAAGATAGACATATACTGTCGCGGAGTGTTTTTTAGATCATTAAAAGAGCTATTATTATTTAATACATATTTTTTGTGTATCTTGAACCGTTTTCACGGCGCACGCAACGGAAGGCTTCAAAGATGAAATAATTTCTCCCGTTTTTTACACATTTACCACTACATCTTTGCTCCTATTGGTCGTAGCGTGATGTTATATAGCCTACAGCTTTCCTCGATAACTGGACTATCCAACACAAAAAGAATTATTCAATTCGAACCAGTAGTTTCCGAGATTAGCGCTTTCAAACAAACAAACTCTTCAGCTTTATAATAGTAGTAAAGATATGATCTAAAGTTTATATTTAATTTATTTCACTATTTGGTATAACAATTTGGACTTCAAGTATTTTTTGATGAGGAGTTGTATGCAATTCGCTTTATGGTCATTTCTATACATTCACACCAATGATTATTGTTCTTTTGCTAAGTCCGCATTTTAGTATATTATTTTCTATACACTACTATCAATATATTTCAATGTTTTTAAAAAGTATCATATAATAATCTTGTGTTTCCATTATCAAGTCACTCTGAGGTTGAACTAATTAGCACTTACGCGTTTAAAACAACGACGGCCATCTTACGAAATTTTGCCGCGCAAAAATTACCGCCGAATCAAATGTCATTCGATATGACATTTAGTTCAGGAACGGTCTGCGGTTGAATTATCGATTACAATATTAAGCAATAATAAAACCTTTTTATAACACTATTATGAAACGTCGTGGTTATCTGGATCTTAGATTTTTTAATAGAAAATATATTTGATCTACTTTCACAACAATTATAATATTGACAAATAAATAAATAAATGAAGGTTTTTAGTGTATAATGCATGAGAAGTTAATTATTTGTTAATTTCTAACAATAGTAATAGTTATTCGCTATTTTTTAATTACTAATTTAGATTTTTGTCAATTATATCCTAGCTTTTTAATAGTCATGATCAAAATTATCTCTGGAGATGAAAAAAAAAATACATATACTCAAATCCTCTTTGTATGTTACTAGGTTGAAATCCTTCTAGTATTATAAATGCAGAAATTTTTCAGGATGTATAGATGAATGGTTATTGTTCTATTACTAAAAACTATATAATAGATTTAAACGAAACATTACAATCATGTATTTATCATATTATTATAAGTCAAGCTGTAATTTGTCCTAAAACTCCGTTTAATTTGAACTAGAACTCTTGAAATAAGTTGTATTGTGTATAAAGTCTCGTGACACACGATAGATGTCGCTGGCGGTTGGTCAACAAATCTATTGTACTTTCCTCTCTAAAAATAATTTCCACGTCTAAAACTAGCCTTTGTTATGGTTAACTCAATTTAACTTATTTAATATAAAAGAAATAAATAGTCTATATATTTAATGGATTTGATGACTTTAAATGAAACTCCATTTCCATGTCTTGATGTTATATTAGGAAAAAATAAAACAAAATTAGCCAAACTATTATTGGCTTGTACATATTTAGTTTTAAGGAAGGAGAAAGGACATTGGGGCAGTGGAGGGGAGGCTTATAAGTATATTAACAGTAATTTCTTCATGCAAAATCATAAACTCTAAAATACATAAAGTAACAATTTGTCAGTCTTCCAACAATCACATATTAAAAGCACTTTGGTCAATTTTACACTAACATATATCTTTATGATCTTCTCTAGATAACATTGCCTAAATCTTCCATATTAAAAACAATTTAAGTAAACTAGCAATACTGAAATTTAATAGCCTAATTTATAATTAGGAACTTGAAGGTTTTAATCAAATTATTATAGTATATAGTTTATCTTGAGAAAGGTTTTAAGTCATAGCTGTTATTGCTGTAATTGGCAAGTCTTCCTCTCCCTCTGCCACAACCAACCAGGTTTCTATGAGACCCAGCAATGAGAACATCTTTGAAGATTAGTTCCTGACCACATTGACTTGAGGGTCCAACATCCCTGGTCGGAAACTCCTCATAGCTTGAAGTCATCATTAAACTTTGAGAACTCCTTAGTTTCTGCGAAAGAAAATTACTCATGAACTTAAATGGTCACAATGCTAAATATCAGTGTTATTGGTACTATTGAATGTAAATATTTCTCCAATTTGTTTCGACGAGACGAAACTACTAAGCATTCCATGGATTCACCGTGCGGGTGCCGGGTCCATCGCGTTGCAGGGAGAGGAGCTTCAACAGTGCCTGGGACTTGCGACCCAAGTGTAGGTTTAAGGGGCCCCTTAACTAACGCGCGTTATACGCTCACCTCCACTGTCCAAGCTCCTCTCTCTACCTAACCAAATTTGAAAAGAACCTACTAGGGCTGCCTTCGATATACGTTCCAAGAATGCATTAATGTGAGTTCTGGACAAGCCCAAGTCCTTTAGTAGGTTGTAGAGAGATTTCGCTGTTATACCTCTCGCTCCCACCTCTACTGCGTACAAATCTACTACGAACCTATTTCGAGTGAGTTCGTTTGTGAGCTCGTAATATTTGTTGACCTTGATGGTATGGTCTTTGGGGATGTTGGTTTCCCAAGGGACCGTAAGCTCTATCATCACTACGCGCTTTAAAATTCGCGAAAACAAAAATATATCCGGTCTGGAGGCCGACGCACAAATATCCTCGGGGATTTTATATTGCTTTTCATACGTGTCCATCATTATAGTCCAATCCGACGCCGCTTTAAGGATGGAGTAAGGCTTGACGTTTGATTTTGTAGCCCTAGTGCCTTCTCTCACAAAACCTACTGATCGTTCGTTTGTGGTTATTTCCTTTTGCGCTCTGGCTACCGAAAGACTAACCGATTCACGTATGATTTCTAAAACCCTATCGTGACGACGCGAGTATTGACCGCTGTCCAGGAGTACCTTACATCCCACCAGCAGATGCTTAGCAGTTCCAACTGCCTTTCCACAGATATAGCAAGTTTTTTCGGTACTTTTACCCCATCTTACTAAATTACTCTGATCTGGGAGAGTCATCTGGAACGCATTGAGATAGAATTTTAGCAATGCTGGCGACCAATCATAAATTAAAGGCGCCATTTTAATGCTAATGGGATGCAAAAATCTCCTATGTCTAACCACTCGTTCTGCATTTCTAAATTCATTGCATGGATCTTATATTTATCATTCTCGTCTTGCCGAATAAAAGACTTCAATATATCCGCATCTTGGACTTTCCTATTTGATCCTAACCCCGCTCTGTTACTTTGTGCTCCTATCATAAATTGCTTATGGAATTGAAGTCGTGACTCTAGCTCGGGGGCATCTTCATCTTTTGGGAGCGATGTCACTATGTCATCATGGGATTTCCCCAGGATATATCTCTTGGAAACTCTTAGGTGTTTATAGAGCTCCGATGGCCTTTTTAGACTCATCCCAAAACTATTGCTTCCCCTAAATAACGCCGATGAATCAGCCGTTAGAGCGAGCCCGAGCCACCACTTCAACATCTTTATGACGCCTGCATCTAACATTGACAAAAGGGTTTTATTAAAATCATAGACGAGGAAAGGCCAATTCAAACATGAAGTTAAGTAATTCTCGTAGATCCACGCTTTTTTGACGTTACTTATCAGTTGGCTATCTACCTTGTTAAGATCGTTCAAAAAGCTATCTACTATTCCTTCTAAAGATGGAGTACGGCCTATATTATCAATCTTCCGACCGAGAAATTTAAATGGTGCATTTTCCGTAACCGTAGAAATGCATTGACCGCCTAACGATAGTCCCGGATCGTATGAGGTATATCTTGTATTCCGCCCACCAAGACACAGACAATGACATTTACTGGGTTTTGTCCTCAATCCATCCGTCCACTCACAGAATTTATCCACTTCATCCAATAGTACTTGACAGTGTTTGGGGTTACGTGTCAGTATTGCGAGATCGTCAGCGAAGGCTAAAATGGATTCCGTGTATTTATTATTAAACTTAAACCGATAACCCCATTTTTTCTCGTTACAGATTAATTTGTCTACCAAGATGTTAATAACGATATTAAACGTAATTGGAGATAGACAACAACCTTGAAACAGTCCTACATTATAACTTAAACTTTTTGAAGGGCCTTCTTTAGTTATTATAGAAAACCTTAATTTTGAGTAATACGACGCGATCATTTTTCTAACTAGGGGTGGAAAAATGTACCATCTAAGCGCGAATAGCATCAATTCGTGTTGTATCGACCCGAACGCGTTCTCCAAGTCTATCCAACATACAGTGATTTGCCGCTCGCTTTTTCTAGCATCTTTCAAACTCTCCGACAAAAGGTGTTGTGTTCTAGGCATCCAGAAATCCCGGGTAAAAACCCTTTCTGGTGATTTGGCCTAAAATAGTTGTTGCTGAGCATGAATCGCGTCATTCTCGTTTGTAGAACCGAGAAAAAGATTTTCGATATAGTATTTGTTAAAGCTATCGGTCTAGTATCTTTCGGATCAGTAACTATATCTTTTTTGGGAATGAGGACAAAAATTGCTTTCCCGAAGCACTCCGGGATTTGCTTCCCTGACCAGATTTTACCGTATATATATAGGAGGTGTTTACGAACCGATGGACATTTTTTAAAGACTATATATGGGATACCATCGGGTCCCGGTGCAGATTTAGACGACTTCCTCTTGATCTGACTACTTAGTTCCTCTAGCGTTGGTGGAATGCCTTGGAATTCGATTCGAGGAAATTCAAATTTTGATCGTTTGGATCCCTATACCGTCTTAAACTTTAGGCACTTCGTATGTGCTCTTGAAATGGTCCTAAATTTGATCGTTGGTCAAGAGAAGCTGTCCGCGTTCTTTCTTAAAAATGGTTTTCGAATACTTAAAGGGGTTTTTATCGAAATCTACTTCTTGTTTTGCCCGGTCAAAATTATCGCGTATGGTCCTAAATTTGATCGTTGGTCAAGAGAAGCTGTCCGCGTTCTTTCTTAAAAATGGTTTTCGAATACTTAAAGGGGTTTTTATCGAAATCTACTTCTTGTTTTGCCCGGTCAAAATTATCGCGATTTTCTGCAGTTTGCGCCGATATTCCTTGGATTAATTTAAGGATTGACCTTAACGCCCTAGCTAGTTGATGACTAAGGTGATTGTCGCCTAGAGCTTTTGCTATACGTAGATTTTTTATTAATTCCCGTTTTTTCTTCCGCATTTTTATTTTGAACGAATTGTCTTTATTTTTGCGAGCCATATTATTAAAAAATAAATGAACATCGTCGGGGCAATGTTGTATGTATAAAAATCATATAACGAGTGACGCTGCTGACTCCGCGGAACACCAAGCCGTGTGAACCAGAAGATTCCTGACACCACACAAGCTATGGAATGGTATTGCTATCCTAACATCGAGTCAGTCATGTAGTCTTAGGTGTAGGTTATAAGTTTTAATATGTAATTCTCCTTATAACATACATATAAGTAAGTTTCGTAATTTTCTTGAAACCTCTGGCGTCTGGAAGACGAAGCCTATATAATTAATTCTTATCATAATTATTTTTTATCATGTAAGTCATATTTAATTGTCTATCTAGTGTGAACGAGCCCTATATCTGTAGGACTCGTTCACTAATTAGTGTTTCTGATTACTTATTTATTACTAAGCTGATACGAAAATTGGCAAGTATTTTTGGGGGCTGGGTTGAGGTTTCGTAAAATAAGGGCATGTTCACAAGGGCGTCACAGTACAAATAAGTCTTTCTAGTGTGATATATTCCTATGTCAACTGACCTGCCTAGCCTCGCTTTCCATCAAAAGTCTTTTCAGCACTCTCGAGTGCTGCTGCGCTGCCTGCAGCAGCTGCTGTGACGAAAGGCGAGACAGGGAAGTGAAGCTTACGTCACATGCCTTTACACCTGGTTGATATACAGTCATAGTCGTATTAAGGAAGCATGAGGGCGTAGTAACTTAATGAAACTAATATTTTTTGGATGTGTTTGAACTGTGTTCCCTGTTATCATTGAGTTATTGCTGGTACTAATAAAGTATTTTTTAGGTTTAGAGATCTTTATTTTCCAAAAAGACACAAAGTCACTTACATGGAAACAAAAAAAAGATTCAAGCAACATAAAATGTCGTTCTCAAAAAAAAATTTTTTTGGATGTACTACGCGAATTTATTTTTGATAAAAAAACTACATACTACCAACGTTTTGGCAAATATTATGTAGTTTCATTTAAATGGATAAAGTTCAGTATAGCAACTTTTTTGGTGGACCTTTTACTTGACTTCTTACATTTAGGTATACTTTGTCTTGAAGATATCCCTCTTTAGCGATAAGTAAGCCAAGATTATATTCTCATAATTATTAGTTTTAGGGTGTACAATAAAGAATATTATTATAATTTAGGTATTAGTACGAGAGACTTTAGAAGTGATGCGAATATTATCACGTTTTGGGGACGTTTATATTCGATGAGTTTAGGTTCTAGGTAGCGAATTAGGGTCAGAAATGGTCAGCGGGTTTCAATATAGTTTGATTGTATAGAAGATGAAGAAGATCGTACTTTTGATATATGTTTAATCTAGCAACGAAGGTAGGGATGTGGTCCTCAGATAATTATTCTAAAATTCTCTTATACCTAATTGATTATGATTATTGGTCAAAGAATTTTTTGTGAATGTTTTCAATTTCCTAGCAAATCAAGGTTTTCCTTCACAAAAATTTGTGGACAAATATAAATAGTTCATAATATTTCTCTACTCCAGAAACAGACATAAGCATTGTAAAAAAAATTGTTCTAATAGAAGGTAGTTTAACAACAATAAGTTTTAAAGGAAGGTAGTTTGAAAATATTACTAGCATTTTCAGTACTACATAGACAGACAAAGTCATAGATAAAGGTGCTCAAATATAAGTGTATATGTATTAAGGAAATATTTTCACTCACAATTAGGCAGTGTGAGGTCTATCTCAGATGAGTGTGGCGCCATGTCCGCGCCTCTCATGAACTCACCGGCGCTATCCACTGATGTATCCCAGTCCTATACAGAAATGGACCATAGTAGCAAAAAATACATCTCACCTAATATATACTTATAATTTCAAGATTCTTTGGAAAGGAATTTTGGGTAGTTAGAGTGGAGCTTGTACGGTGGAGGTGAGCGTTTAACGCGTTAGATAGGGGCACCTAAAACCTACACCTGGGTCGCAAGTCCCAGTCACTGTTGAAGCTCCTCTCACTACAACGATGGACCTGACACAGCCACCGTGAATATATTGTATGATGAAAGGTTTCGTCTTGTTATTGTAATGAGATTGGAAAAATGATATCACAATTTGAAGAAAATTTTACTATTAAAATGTTTGACTGTCAGTGATTTTTATATAGATGAAAATATGTTACATGAGGGTCATTCATAGCTCATGTTTGTGACGCATTTGGATTATATATTTTGGATATATCTTAAGAAAAAGATAGTTAGAGACCATTAAAATTTAAAAACATGACTAAAGTTACGTCTAAAGACTAGTTTAGTTTACGCAGAGTAATAATAATCAAACAGAATTTAGAAATTTTTGATTGTGAAATATGTATATAAGTTATAGTGAAATATGAAAAATATCTATTTTTGTATTTGTTTAAAATTATATATAACCACTAAACTAGTTTTGATGAGATCACTAACAATTGTAGTATACATATACAGTTCAATTAAATTTGAGTCATTTATTACTAAAAAACATCATGTAAAGAAAACCTAAAATGACTATAACTAAGACAACATCAATATTATATAATAAAATAATGCATATATTAATATTATTTATATTATAAGTTAATGATCCTCACCATGTCCATAGCTAGTTGTATTTCATCTGTTGGAGCCCAAGGTGGATATTGGTGATATTGGCTGGTGCAGATATCTTGTAGACCATCAACTACATCGGGATGAATTGATGGACTATCAACTGTAATAAAGAATAATATATATATATATATATACATATATATATATATATATATAAAACTTATATTTTTCAGATCTACAATAACATGTGATCAGTTGCTGCAAAGTAACTAAAATGTTGGGAGTATGTAGTTAAAATAATAAAAAAGCATAGTACATGCGAAAATATTAGTTTCTTACAAGGAATACTCGTGAAACTATTAAAGACACTAGTCTTCAATATTATAATACCAAGTTTAGTTGTTGTTGCACTTCTAAGTATGTTACAATGTACTTATCTCAGGATATATTAGACATTAATAATTAAATCTAGATTTTATACTAGCTCAGTTGACTGCAGCTTTGTCCAAATATTAACCATTTGAGAAATATGTACATCACAATCTTTATGTTAATTCATTGTTGGAAGAACCATTCATCATATCCTGACTATGATAAAACTACCTCAACACACTGTCTTATCTTTTGGAAATCTATCATTGTAAGTAAGTATATATACTTCTATATACATATACAACCAGTAATTAATCAAATACAGGTAATTTTTAAGTGTCTAAGCTGAAGATCCCTTAATATTTACAAATATTATTATCTTATTAGAACTAAAATTTGTTAATTGAAATTATTTGTCTTTTGGCATGGCCTTATGGCTGAAGACATCATCATGATGGGTTTTTGTCAATTGAAATTAAATTAATTAATGAAATTCATATTAATTAGAATAGATAATAAATTATTACAGTCCAATTTCAGTAAAAGAGAAGTAAACTTTGTAAAACAAAGATTCTTAGTAACTCATTGTTATGTATTAGTTATGCTTGCTCAATATTATTATAATAATATGATGTCAAGTGTAATGTTACCTACATTTACTTATTATATACTATATTATATAAGTTTCTATCATTAGAGATAGAAGCAGACTCTGGCTAAAGCTGGGAAATTGCCAGGAAGAAGACTAGTTTCTATCATTCAGTTTGCTACTTAGCACATACATATGATAAATTTAATATAGTTTTATTGAATACTTATATATAACAAACATACCTTCTGTATGTATATCTGGTGCAACATGACCAGATCCTATGAAAACAGCCGTTTCCATCGGCCAGGTCCCTTCAAACTCCCCGCAATCATTCCAACCCAATATCAACTCTTGAGGACAACATGCTTCATTAACTTGAGTTTCCTGACATTCGGAGCAAGTTGCTAGATTCTGTGAGAACATGTTATTTCTGTCCTCCAAATCTGCCAAACTGGCAGCTTTCTGTAGATTAGCCAATCTCTGTATAGTTTTCGCCGTTTTTATTGTGTCTGAAACATTATTCTCCGGCCATATATTGACCGGTTCCTGCCATTCCTGTGACAATTCTGGACTTTTCAGATATGAGAATTTTTGATTCTTATCTAAAATCGTGACACATATTTGTATACAGTTGCAACACATTTTTAATCAAAATTAAATTACTAAGTAAATAATGGTCATGGATATTTCTTTTTTTATTTTATATTTAGATATTATGAAAACTATGAATCTCACCACAATCAGACTCCACAAAAGCAACATTCAAGTTATCATTTTTATCTGCAACTTGCTTGTCTTCTACATTATATGTAGTATTTAGAGTTTCCCTGTAAAAAAGTTAAATGTAACAATCTATGTAAAGAAAAAGCTCGTAAAAAGTTATATTAGGAAACGTTACGTATAGTAATAATAGTAAAAAAGTAAAAAGTACGTTACGTTACGTATAAAATAAATATTTAATTGTCTTATATACACAATACTGTACTTTTCAATAGATTTCTTTGGTGGCTTGACTCGGTTTGATGATAGTTTCCAATTATTTTGCTTTTTATAAAACTCCAAACGGTATATGGCCACAAGTTCGGCCTTCGAAGATTTGCTTGTCGACATTTTTTATATTATAGTGGCTACTTAAATTTTGTTATACTTAAATTATATATGATTTTGTTGAAACAATTAACCCTCATAGTAAAACAGACGAGTTAACAAAATAGTAGTTTGACGGTAGGTAGAGGTAAATAAAAAATTTGCATATGACAGTTATCTTAGAGGATTCATAATTTGTAGTACAAAATACAAATTAAATATACTACTATATACCTAGGTATAAAAGAGTTGTTATATATTCTTGGTAAATTTAAATTTTGGCAGATTCATAGAAAAAGTTTATTTAATACAATATGAGGTATTTTCAAAGTAAGAACTTCGGTATATTTTATTTTAAATTTTCTTTTAAAATATGTATTTATCTACGTATAAAAGCCTATTTAAAATGAAAAAAATATTTTATCTAAAATTGTATTTATTAAACGCAAATATCAATTAACTACGCAACCTGTTTTTTTCCTTTAACTAAAATTTATTTCCCTTTTTTATAAAACAAATATTAAGTTATTAGTATTTATTATTTTATTATTATTATTATTATTTTCTTCTATATCCAATATATGAATAAGGTAATTAACTTTTGTAACTTTCGAACGTAATCTGTGTTGTCAAATATAAAACACGAAAAATGGAAATGATAGTATGACTTTTTGAGTAGTTGAGAGACGTCGCCCGTTGTCGAGATGTCGTCGTATAGTTTAAATTTATTATTATTGACGGTGTTTGGTATATTCGTGACATCGAATACCCAGACGATACATAAACGATTTGAATACAAATATTCGTTCAAACCGCCTTATTTAGCACAAAAAGATGGTTCTGTGCCGTTTTGGGAGTACGGAGGCAGTGAGTATTATTTTTCTGTGTATATCATAACTTTAATCAAATAAAATGAAGTATCATTAATAAAAAACGGAATATTTAAGTCTTGTATGATCTAAAATATAATTTTTGTGTGATAAAACGTTTTCTAAATTAAAAAGCTTGTTGTTTTCGACACGTCAGTAAAAATTGTCAAGAGTGAGCGAGAGAGATATATATGAGAACTAGCGAGTGTGAGAGAGATATACGAATGTCAAATTTATTCTGACTTCCACGACGTCAATTGTAGCAGGTTTTTTTCAAACGATTAAATTCATGAATTAAAAATGTATTGATAATATCATATATATATTTAAAACATCACGTTGAACACTAATTCGGTTGTTCAGAACTCGTACAGATATACTTATGTAAATTTTTATTCTATTTTTATAATTATCTACACATTATAATATCTTCACCTACATGGAAACAGATAATCTTGAAGTAAAATAATAATTTATGCTCTAATAAATAATTTCTGGAGCAAAACTATTTTTTTAATTCAAATCCAATTGTATAGTTTCTTATATAGATATAATAATTCAAAAACTCTAAAGTATTCATCTAATTGGTTTCTAATAGTACCTTAATTTCTTTTAACTTAGTTTATATTTAATTATTGACTTGGTGCATTAATGTATGAATATAGTTTAAAATTAAGGAGATGCCACTTCATTTATGTGATTTCAAACTAATTTTTCATAAGACACTGTATTTTTATTAAACATACTATACATTATATGTATACATAAACGACTTTTAAACATAGAAATTATTATTTAATATATAATAGCAAATTTTAAAGCATTTTTATAAAAGAATTTTAGTTTTGTTTGTAAAAGAATTATGTTTCATTGCTTATTCCATTAGTTATCAGCGATTAAAATATCTTCACCATAACTCCAGGTCTTTAGTATCGAAAATAAACGGACAGACAGACAAGTTATTAATATGTAATAAGTAAAATACACTTATTATAATATTGAAGATATTTAATTAAAACAAAAATTAACCTTTTATTCTTATAATATGTCATTATCGTCATCAGCCTATCAGAGCCCACTGCTGAGCAAAGGCCTCTTTCTCTCATAGAGAAGGTTTGAGCATTGATCACCACGCTTACTCAAGACGGGTTGGTGATTTCAAACTTGTAATTGTGAAATTATAATATGTGTATTAAAATTAATTTATAATAATGCTTGCAATTGACGGTTTAATTACTGTGTCATCAATATCAAAAATTGTGCTATAAGCAAACTAGAATTGATATTACAGCTAATTATGTATCATTAAGCAAATTTACTTAAAGATAAAGAAAGTTGAATAATTAGTTATAATTTAAATGATAATTAAATATTCATTAGTTATTGTGATAAATGATTATTTTGTTTGAAAAAGTATTGGAAATAGTCAAATAGTTATTAATTATTTTTTCGATAAATAAGTTGGTATTGAAATATTGTTGTATATAGATATTTAAATAGTCAATTTTTCCATTATTTGGTATGCCTTTGTCATAAAAGAGTTTTAAAATATACAAGGGAACTATCTCTTTCCTCACAAAAACTGTCAATCCCAAGCTAAGTTTTACACCATACTTTGCTTGTAACTATTGCTGGTCTACATTCGTAATTCTCGTCATATAATTGTTATATATATTTTAAATTCTTCATCAACTCATATACCCCTTACACTTTGGTGTATAAATCTCCACAAATATGGAGTAACCTGTATGAGATGTAATATTTTGTATAAATATATTTGCTTGAGAAATTTCTTCCTTGTATCTTAATTTGCCATTGAAATTCAGCAATATTTTCTTCTTCTTCCTGACAATTTCCCAGCTTTAGCCAGGGTCTGCCTTACATGTTGTGAATAGTTTTGCCCAATTGTTTTTACGACCGGCCGCCTGCCTGACATAAACCCTCTTTGGGAATGCATTAATCAGTGATGTCTAAATACTCTTAGAAAGTACATATGACTCGGAAAAATCACATTTGTACTTGTCAGGATCGAACCCGCGCCCTCGTGCAGGAGACGCGGGCCTTTTAACCACTAGGCCACCACTGACTCAGAAATATATACATATATCCGTGTTTTAAATATCTTTTTATTATTCTGAGTCTAGAATACTTTTTTTAATTTCAATCATCAATGCAACAGTAGTCTAACTGTACAGTGTACAATGTATAAACATTAATCAACATAATCTTTCAGACACCATTTTATTGTTTTCTTTTACTTTAAAAGATAAAGATTAATAAAGATAAAGTGTTGTAAATCATATAAATATTTATATGATAGGACACTTGTTACAGTTAAACAACAATCAAATTATCATTTATATACAGATATGGACAGATACAATATAATAAAAATTTGGGTTTTTATACATAGATGAGGAAAAATATGATATGGACCCAAGATTATCTAAGAAAATTAAAGATATATGACCTAAAAATATGTAAAGGATGTTTATTTAAATTAAACTTATATTTTATCATACTACGTGACTTTATTTTTGATAACTACATACTCCCGACGTTTCGGTTACTTTTGATCAACCGTGATCACGGGCAGACGAGTTGTCATCATCTCGAAAAGTAACCGAAACGTAAGGAGCATGTAGTTTTTATCAAAAATAAAGTCGCTTAGTATATTGAAAAATATTAGTTTCATTTAAATGAATACTCGCGAAAATCTTAGATCTCATTGAAGGAAATTCTTGTTTTTGCTGAAACAAAATATTATTCATGTTAGTTTAAACATTTTATATTTATAGTCTGAGTTATTAGTGGGGAAACAACTTGAAACTAGTTTCTTTATGTTGAATGAAAGTATATATAAAAAAAGATTTGGTGGCCTATAGATTAAATGTCCGCCTCGTGCATGAGGGCGCGGGTTCGATCCTGGCAAGTACCAATGTGATTTTTCCGAGTCATATGTACTTTATAAGAGTATTTAGACATCACTGACATATGAAGGAAAACATTGTGAGAAAACCTGGACTTATAATTTCACAATTATAAGTTGAAATCACCAACCCGTCTTGAGCAAGAGTGGCGATTAATACTCCAACCTTCTCCATGTGAGAAGAGGTCTTTGCTCAGCAGTGGGCTCTAATAAATTAAGGACAGTTCTTTCCATCACATAAACTGTTTTCAATATATTAAATGTATTATTCATACAACTGTTATTGTTTAACACGTTAAGTGTTAATAGCGTGGTGAATTTATAATCGATTGGTTCCAGCTCAGAGTAAACTGTTCTCTTGTAATCTTAGCTAACTTGGAGTTTAGTTATGAAATACTCATATATGTATATACATATAATCGTATCTTCTTCTACCTGGCAATTTCTCATATACAGGGTGACTGGTGAATTACTATCGATATTTGAGGACGTGATATTTGACGATCATGTATGACAAAATAAAAATTAATATAACATAAATATTGATAAACTTCTAAGTAAAGTTAACCAAAAGTTATGTAATTAATTACGCATCGTGTGAACACCCTACAGATTAGGTATACACACACACTCACACATACGCGTGAGGGGGCGTGGTGTTGTATCAGCACGCCGCCGCACGCGTCCACACTTGGAACACTTGGAACGTGTCAACACTTTATTTATTTATACGGAAATTTTGTCAAAAATTAAGTGCCTATTTTTTTTACATAATTCGAATGAGAATCATGTACAGAGTATTCTACTTAAATATTGATAGTAATTCACCAGTCACCCTGTATAGCCAGGGTCTGCCTTTCATGTTGTGAATAATTTTGGCTAATTGTTTTTACTACCGGCCGCCTGCCTGACATCAAACCTCTAAATCAGTGATGTCTAAATACACTTAGAAAGTACATATGACTCGGAAAAATCACAATGGTACTTGCCAGGATCGAACCCGCGCACTCGTGCATGAGAGGCGGGCCTTTTAACCACTGGGCTACCACTGACTAAATATAGTCGTATATATAGCTCATACTCATATATATAGACGTTACTCCCCTCTTCCTGTGGTGAAAAATAAAGAAATTTAAACTTTTCACTATTAACACTCAACAACTCCTGATTGGATGAAGTAAATTTCTTTTATATATAATTTTTCAACACATACAGGGTACAAAATATGGATAAAAGTAGCTATAACTTGAAAGTTTTAAATGTTTCTTTTTTAACCAAAATCCCGTAGTCTTTATTGTGGATGAGGTATTATAAATTTTATTCGTAGATAATTTCTACATCACATACAGAAGATTCTTACCGAATGTAAAGTTTTACTTGATACCCCACAACATTCCCTGTATGTGTTTCATAAAATCCTTCCTCAGCTGCCCTCTACCCGTCGTAAACAATATTCCTAACAAATAATAAATCCCTATTTATTATAGTTCCAGAGATATCGTGATGATTCAATATATCTGTGGAAATCTCTTATAAACATTCAACTTTACATTATACACCTTCATTCAGTTTTACTAAACTTTCATTTTAGCTATAATATCTTTACTTCATATATTTATATTTAATTCTTCCATTTAAAGAGATTCACATGTTTTTAATACCTTCTCCACCTTTAAAACAATCGATAAAAAAGAATAAGTTAATCATTAAGATTTGTATATACAGTAGAAACTCAATTAACCGGACTAATTGTTGTCGATTCATTCGGATAACCGAAAATCCGGGTAACCGAATGTATGAAGAAAAGCCGGTTTTGTGTTTATGTAGTTCATAATACTATATGTTTATTTAAAAAATAAATTAAAAATATGTATTTGGTAATTTGAAATTGGTAATCATGAATTATAATAATAAGTATAATTTGGTTTAGAATATTTGTTAATTGTGATTTGACGTACGCCACTCTCAACAACACCACTCTCTTACGCTTTGACTATTTTTCTTGTTGGGACTTGTCCGTAGTCCGGATAATCACGAATCCGTATGACTGAGGGCCGGATAATCGAGTTTCTACTCTATTTCGTTACCAAAAAATCCTATAGCCTATGTATAAGAGGTTCTAATGTGTGTTATTTCATCGTATTCTTCTAGATGCCATCGCGTCTGGTGAGAGCGTTAGGTTGGCGCCGTCCTTGAGGAGTCAGAAGGGCGCTATATGGTCCAAACATCCCATTAACTTTGACTGGTGGGAGGTGGACATCATGTTCAAGGTCACAGGAAGGGGCAGGATAGGAGCCGACGGACTGGTGAGTGACACACACACACACAGACATACACACACACACACACACGTGGATAGATAGCACAGGAGATTCATACTATGATACACTGAACAGGTATAAAAGATAATATAAAAGGCATAAAAGGCAGGTATAAAAGATATATAAAATAAAAGGTAATACCTGGAAGAAACTGATCTATAAGATTTAATTTTTTCACTAAAACACTTATTAAATTAATTTGTTTCAAATATTTAAATGGTGTTAATACTTTATGTATAAGTGTGAAATGTGAAGAACAACATTATCTTTTCTATATTCTTTAAAACACGGTGGAATGTCCCTGATAGTAAAACTATGTCGTTTATAAATGTTGTAATAAAATGTTATTCTACTTTAGTTTGTGTTCATAGTCCGAGTGTCAAACTCGAAACTAAACACCTATAGTTTTGACGTTTTAATTCAAAATTACATTTTAAACGTTAAGTTTATTGTGTACACTGAATAGCATTTGAGCGAATTGACGCTGTACTAACAGTTTTATGTGACGGACAAACTTATTAGTGTTATTTCAGTATCAAGGAAATATGGTTCAATGCTTAGTTATATATCACTAAGAACAAATTTCTAGGCGTTCTGGTACGTGACGAAGCGCGGGGAGTACACGGGCGAGGTGTTCGGTTCTTCGGACCGCTGGAACGGTCTGGGGATCATCTTCGATTCGTTTGACAACGACAATAAGCACAACAACCCTTACATCATGGCCGTACTCAACGATGGAACCAAGAGCTTTGACCACAAGAGGTCAGAAAACTTATATTATTATCCACTTAACTTTCCGCCCGCGTGGAGATCGGTTATATCGCGTTTCCAAGAGAACCTTTCAAAAGTCTGGGATAAAAACTATCCTATGTTTCTTGTCTAGGTCAACTCTATCTCTGTACCAAATTTCATTAAAATCAGTTCAGCGGTTTAGGCGTGAAAGCGTAACAGGCAGACAGATCGACAGAGTTACTTTCGCATTTATAATATTAGTAGTGATATGTTCAAATGATTGCAGAAAAAAAGTGATCAGTTTTTGGGTCACCATGTATATATGACAAATTTTATATGTACTTTCAAAATTCTGTCAAAAAAATTGTTTGAAGTTATAGGCCCATATATTCCTGCATCGCACTGATTGGTACAATAATCATATAATTCATGCACTACAGTAATAAAACAAGTAAAACTTATATTTTGAACGATATGTTCCAATTGTCGCAGAAGAAAATCATTTTTGGATCACCATGTATATCTAAAACTCTACGTACTTTCAAAAAAAATGTTTGAAGTAATATTCCGACAATATATTCCTATATAGGACTAAGTTTTACAATAACCATAATAATATAAACACAGAATTTAATTCCCATAACTTTTATTATCTAACCCCCCTTTTCCCCCCACAGCGATGGTTCCAGTCAGCTGTTATCAGGGTGCCTGCGAGACTTCAGAAACAAGCCGTTCCCGACACGCGCCAGGATAGAATACTACGCGAACACACTCACAGTGTACTTCCATAATGGTGAGCTGATTGTATATGTACGTCTGTATTACTATATCACAGAAAGTAGATACGGGATTGGTAGGATTATAGACTGTGTACTAGCTTTCCGCCTGCAGTTTCGCCCGCGTGGAGTTCGGTTATATCGCGTTTACAAGAGAACCTTTTAAAAGTCTGGGATAAAAACTATCCTATGTTCTTTCTCAAGGTCAACTCTATCTCTGTAGAAAATTTCTTTAAAATCAGTTCAGTGGTTTAGGCGTGAAAGTTTAACAGACAGACAGACAGACAGAGTTACTTTCGCATTTATAATATTAGTTGGGATTTTCAGTGAACGTGAGGCAAACGAGCAAGGAATGTCGAAGGATTTGTATTGTAGTGATCAAATATGCATGATCTTTTTTGCGGGCAAAACCAGATTATGTAGGTTGTCTGTAAAGGTCAAACGACACTAGGATGTAATTTTCTTCCTATGGTACCAACCAATTGCTAGTTCTACGTTTCAGAACAGTCCCCTGTCATCTTTGTTTCTATATAATGTAATTCATACTCTTTTTCAAGCTGATCGTTATATTTATTTATTTATTTATTATTTTTTGCTACACATATACATTACATATATTATGCAGTTATACAGAAGAAGAAAAAATTTAAAGAATACAGTGTAGCAAGGGGGTCCTTCTCAGTATAAGCTGTGCTAATGCACAGCACTGATTTTCAGATGGCCCCTGAATATTGGGTAAACAAAACACAATGCGTGCACACGAAAATCAATAAATGTATTTATTTATTTCCAGGTCTAACCAACAACGAGGCGGACTACGACCTTTGTTTCCGCGCCGAGAATGTCCAGCTGCCTCGCGGCGGGTTCCTCGGAGTGTCCGCGGCCACCGGTGGACTGGCGGACGATCATGACGTCATACACCTGCTGACGTCATCACTGCACTCCACACAGCAAGGAGGTGAGGGGCATACAGAGATTCACCAAGATACACACATACACACACACATATACATACATACATACATACATACATACATACATACATACATACATACATACATACATACTTATACCATTATATAGTTTCATATTGTTAGTCGCAACTATATCTGTGTAAGAAAAACCTAAGTTACTCCTTATTACATCAGCTACTTAACAATAAAAGATCCGTCAAAATAGGTTCATGCATTTTAGAGTTTAGCTAGAACAAACGATGAACAAAATATGTAAAAATATCATTTTGCTATATGTACCGTACATATATTCATATGTATGTAATATAAGGGTTATTACAATAGGCACTCCAATTTTATTTATATGTATATACAGTAGTCATTACCTGAATATATGATACAAATTATACTATTATTTTTATAGGACAGCAAATAAACAGTGCGGAACAAGCCAAGCTGTCCCAGGAGTACCAGGAGTACCAGAAGAAGCTGGAACAGCAGAAAGAGGATTACAGGAAGGAACATCCCGATGAGGTTAATATAATATATCTCGAATTTTAAAGCGCGTAGTGATTATAGAGCTTACGGTTCCTTGGGAAACCAACATCCCCAAAGACCATACCACCAAGGTCAACAAATATTACGAGCTCACTAACGAACTCACTCGAAATGGGTTCGTCGTAGATTTGTACGTGGTAGAAGTGGGAGCGAGAGGTATAACAGCGAAATCTCTCTACAACCTACTAAAAGACTTGAGCCTGTCCAGAACTCACATTAATACATTCTTGGAGCGTACATCGAAGGCAGCCCTAGTAGGTTCTTTTCAAATTTGGTTAGGTAGAGAGAGGAGCTTGGACAGTGGAAGTGAGCGTATAACGCGTTAGATAGGGCCCGTTAAACCTACACCTGGGTCGCAAGTCCCAGTCACTGTTGAAGCTCCTCTCACTACAACGATGGACCCGGCACCCGCACCGTGAATATATTGAATGATGAGAGGTTTCGTCTCTTAACAAAGGAGTTTTTATATGAAGAAGAAAATTTGTCAGAGCAACAACATTTAAAACCCTTATAAGGGGTAGTTGTGTCATAAAAGTATTTTACTTTAGAGGATAAATGTGACAAGGTGTTTCGACAAATATATAAAAGTATAGATAGTAAAAAAAATATCTTCAATGAATTTATCCAATAAAATTGAAACAATCATTAATTATGTGATAATAATTATACAAATAAAAATAATATTAAAGTTTTAAACAAGTCAGTGGTGGCCTAGTGGTTGAAGGGCCCGCCTCTCGTTGCCGAGGGCGCGGGTTCAAACCTGGCAAGTACCAATGTGATTTTTCGGAGTTATATCTACTTTCTGAGAGTATTTAGTCATCACTGACATGCGGTGAAGGAAAACATCGTGAGGAAACCTGGACTTATAGTTTCACAATTACAAGTTTGATATCACTAGGGCCCGGATAAATATGTATTAAAAAATCTAAAATATGTACTTAAAATATGGACGAAAAAATCAAAAATATGGAAAAAATATGGAGTATAAAATATAATACTATCATAATTAAACACTGTTTTACTATAAGAAAAGGGTCACTCGTGACGTACATCGTTAAGTTACATTTAAAAAATGAAGAAAATAGCGAAATATTTATTTCAACAAAAAATAACAGTTTTATTCAACTTCCATTACACTAGCCTTATCACATTGGTTGCAATACACAATGATGTGCTTCTTTAAATTATCAAAAGGAAAACTGACCATTTTGGTTGAAATATAGCATTTTATGTGCTGAATGATCTCTCCACGTCACATGACGTGATGGGTGCATACTAAAACATGCTTAATTCAGTAATTGTGTAAGCCATGTCTACAGCCCTCGAAACTTCCACACGGAATTTTGATATTTTTTTTTTTAGTGTAACCTTTATTTTTTATCCAAAACATTAGTGGCGGAAACGTAAATTTTTTGTATTTTTGTGAATATATGGATGATTGTGACATTTTCTTGTAAAATATGGACTTAGCTTTGAAATATGGTAAAATATGGAAAATAAAAGTTGGTTTTTCACAGTCTAAGTACGACAATCCATGTAAAAAACACATTCTAGACCGAAAATTGCGTTACTTAAAAATATGTATTTACATATTAATCGGGGCCCTAGATATCACCAACCTGTCTTGAGCAAGTGTGGTGATTAATGCTCAAACCTTCTCCATGTGAGAAGAGGCAGCTCAGCAATATGCTCTGATAGGCTGATGATGATGATGAAACAATATTGTGTCTTAAGTATTTGTTTTTAAAATTCAATATATATATTATATATCTCTTTTATAATTTAAGGTTCGGGACAAGGACGGTGAGTTTGACGACTGGTTTGAGTCTGACGGCCAGCGGGAGTTGAGGCAGATCTTCGCGAGTGTGGGTCACGTTCAAGACGGGGTTAGGGAGCTGAGCAAGAAGATGGACGAGGTGAGGGGTTAGGGGTCAATAGGGGTTGATATAGAATATCCATCATATATAGTTGTATATCACTTGCATAGAATAGAAATTATAGGCTACTATAGTTCTTACAGTTTCTACTTAATACATCAATCGTCACATGATATATGTTTCATGTCAGTACCTCAACATTAGATCACTGAAAATCAGTGTAGAAGCAACATTGCTTCTATTTTTTACTGAGTGGCTCTCCTTTTGGTTAAATTACACTGCTGCATTCTTATTATTGATTTTTTAACTTAATATTTGTCCTGTTGTAGTTGTTATGTTACTTTATTTTCCTTTTTTGTATACATAGGATAAGTGTTACTCTGTTTTTTTTTTATTATTCTTTATTGCACACAAAAAAAAATTAATGTACAAAGGGCGGACTTAACGCTATGTCAGCATTTTCTACCAGCCAACCCAGAATAGTGAAGGAGAGTAGTGAGTAGGACGTGCACAGAAGTAAAGAAAAATTTAAAATATATACATAGTATAGAATACATAAATATACATATACATAATATACATAAATATGCACAAACAAATACACATACAAGTACATAAATATTTAACATATATATAAATATATTTACATATGAATCCAATTATGATAAGTGTATAGAAGAAAAGACATCACATAGAGTTGACAGACGACAGATAAAATTCTTTCACTTGGCGCTTGAAAGAATCGCGCGAAGGGGCTCTACGAATAGAATCCGGCAAAGTTTGTTGTTTGTTGTTTATTTTGTAGTGGTGTAATTTTTAAACCAATAAACGTTAATTATTATTATTTATGTTTCCAGGTGATCGGCAAACAGACAAACTCACTATCAATGTTGTCAGCTGTGTACAGTCAGACGCAGACGATGCAGGTGCAGCAGCCGGGGGCACCTGGACAAGCACCTGTACAGGTATGACATTGAGTTCCAGAAGTTACAGACTTTTGCAAACATACAAACATACATATACAGGGTGACTGGTGAATTACTATCGATACTTGAGGACGTGATATTTGACGATCATATATGACAGAATAAAAATTAATATAACATAAATATTAATAAACTTCTAAGTAAAGTTAACCAAAAGTTATGTAATTAATTACGCATCGTGTGAACACCCTACAGAATAGGTATACACTGACACTCACACATACGCGTGTCGTGACGTAGTGTTGTATCAACACGCCGCCGCACGCGTCCACACTTGAACACTTGGAACGTGTCAACACTTTATTTATTTATACGGAAATTTTGTCAAAAATTAAGTGCCTATTTTTTTTACATAATTCGAATGAGAATCATGTACCGAGTATTCTCCTTAAATATTGATAGTAATTCACCAGTCACCCTGTATATGAGTACTAGTTGCGCCTCGCGGTGTTACCCGCGGATTTCCGGGATGTAAAGTAGCCTATGTGCTATTCCTAGACGTCAGCTTCCTGTATACGAAATTTTATCAAAATCGGTTCAGCCGTTTGAGCGTCAAGAAGTAACAAGCATACACACACTCACAAACTTGCAATTATAATATTAGTAGGATGATAGCTCATTCAGACAAGTATGTCATGTTGAAGAGTTTGCAGAGGAACCTAACAGCTACATATCATATTTTTCCTATATTTGATCTAATTTAAATTGTATTTAACTTGTTTTACTAATAAAGTTATAGAAATCCATAAGAATCCAGAAGAAATGGATTTAAATTAAAAATATTTCTTTTAAACTTGTGTTATGGTCATATCAAACTATATAGTGTATATACAAAGATATACACACTAAATAGTCTGGTACCGAAGGATTGTTTCTATGGTTGAAAAGAAAAAAACATTATGATTTTTAAAAAATCGTTCGCCGTCCAATGACCGATTTATTAATATTCAAAACTAATTATTTCAGAGTTTCTTATCTTGACAATAATTGAGAACAAAAAGTGTTAGATAGTCAGTAATGACGCTCCTTATATAGATGGCTTGAGGGTTGCTAGTTTAATAATTGATTATCATTTGAAAATATATGTATGTATGTATATGTTACAGCAGATGCCGATGCTGCCAATCACGAGACACGACTGGGACCAGTTGATGGCCAACAACCAACTGGTCATTAACACCATCGCTGAACTCAAGTCAGTTACATACTATAATAACTTACATTATACAATATATAATATATGTTATATATATAAAAGAAAGTCGTGTTAGTTACTCTATTTATAACTCAAGGATAGATATAGGGTTTGGATGAAAATTGGTGGGGAGATAACTTAGAACATAGAAAGGAAAAGGAAAAGGAAAAAAATAATAAGTTGTTAAAACCCAAAATCTTCTTATTTACTGTCTTTAAGGAAGAATAAAGTTCGCCCGTTCGGCTATATATTATTTATTCTGTAACTAACGCAGACCAAGTCGCAACCAAAACTAGTATATAATATATGTATTATCAACATTTTATCAGAATGCTTATTTTGTTTTCTTGTTCCTGACGTATTTCATATAATTCCAGGGGTTTCATAATAGACGTGTCTCGTAAGACGGACAGCGTGGTGGGCGCCGCGGCGGGCGGCGTGGCGGGTGGCGCTCTAAACCAACAGGTGGTGAACGAACTGAGGGAGGGGATCAACAATGTTAAAAACAATGTAGCCGGAGTCGCACAGAGGTATGTACTATCTTGAGATATCTATTAAATTAAACACTAAATAATTACTAATTGTGAAAAAAATTACCTTAAAAGTCGTTAATATAGATAATATTTCAGCTTAAACTTTCTGATAATCTGCTTCCAATGTAGATACGATTTGCAATATACCTTAAGATATATCTTCGGATAATTCTTGAGATATATCTTATGATGTCTTGTTGATCATTTTAAATCTCTATATATATATATGTATATTGTGTTTCGATCAGACTGTCGTCAGCGCCGCCGCAGCCCGTGTGTCCGTCTGTGTCGTGCGTGTCAACCACTATGTTGTTAACGATAGTCGCCTCGCAGTTAGGAGTCATGTTCCTCTACTCGTTGTACAAGTGAGTATTGTATTAACTTTATATTATACTATATATGTATATATGTACACTAGCTGAGCCGGCAAACATTGTTCTCCCATATAAAAATAGGGGTTGGTGATAAAAAAACAAAAAATTTGGTCCCAAAATTAATAGATCATATTTTGGGGTGAACAACCCTTATCTCTTATTCTCAGACTTTCTTAATATGGTCACAAAATTTCATGAGAATCGGTCAAGCCGTTTCGGAGGAGTACGGGAACGAATATTGTGACACGAGAATTTTAAATATAAGATAATACTATATGATATTTAGGTTTCTAAACCAAATAATTAAAATATATATTTGTCTTATAAAGCCAGTACTTTTAAATAACATCAAACCTTAACTAGAACACACAAATTATTATCTTAAACCAAAACACCTTTAATAAGGTTAATTCAATTTACAAATATACTTTCCCGCGTAAAAGAGAACAAACCAAACGTCATCGTTTTAACGACACTTCGGGTGCGTTCGGGAGTTTAAAGGTTGCGTTCAAATTTAATGTGTGTGTCAAACAAATATTTATTTTTGTAATTATAATAATAATATTATATTGTGATTTTTAATTATATATATTTTGTTCCAGAGAAAGGAAAGAGGCGCAGGCTAAGAAGTTCTTCTAATGAGTGTATGTTTGTCCGCGCTGCCTACACCTTACTCGGAGATTATTAGATTAATATTGCTCGTTGTATTTTTATATTTTTATTGTTTGGATGGAGATTTGTTTCAAATTCTATATTTTTGTATCTTCTCTCGTCTTTATGTCACAAACGCCACCTAGTTCTATTGTTGTATTCAATATGTGGAGCCGGGCAGCGCGGCGGAGTGCGTGAATAACTTGTACATAATTAATATTTATATTTTATTTTCTTTTAGTAAATATTATTTGTCATAATGTTGTGTTTATTTTTATACTATATGAAGTAATTTACATTTAAGGCAGACCCTGGCTCAAGCTGGGAAATTGCCAGGAAGAAGATGAAGTAAATTGAGAACAATTTTGAAGTGATCCTTTATAGATTGTTAAAATCGTCAATTAATATAAAATACCATTATTTTATGTATGTATATTTATTTGTTGCTTCATAATTACTGACCGGTTTGGAATTTTCTTATAAATAATGAACAGGATATAGAAAACGGAGAACTATTTAAACTTGATTATTTAAGTAGGGTTACAAATTTAGATGTTGCAACTTGCACGTTCAGTACTTCGTTACTCCTTACACTGACAATATCTTCACCGATTCTGGAATCCTTGAGTTATGGCTCGCATGTTTATGTCAGGCGCTCTTCGTCAGTTATCGGCCTCAAAAAATAATCCCTACTAATATTAAAAATGCGAAAGTGTCTCTGTCTGTCTGTTACGCTTTCACGACTAAACCACTAAACTGATTTTAATGAAATTTGGTACACACATAGCGTTGAACTCGAGAAAGAACATAGGATAGTTTTTAACCCAATGTTTTGAAAGGTTCTCTTGGAAACACGATGTAACCGAACTGCACGCGGGCGAAACTGCGGGCGGAAAGCTGGTATTAAATATTCGCCAACTAAAAGTATTTTAACATTTGGTGATAAAAAGTTACTGAACTTTTTTCAAAGATCATTGATTAATTAAAAATCATATCATCAAATAATACTTTTAAAATAAATTCCCGAGGCCATTTCAAAGAATAATATTTTAATTAGTAGACAGTGGATTAATTTATTAACGAATAATTACTGAAAATTATAGCTGTGAGCTCTAGTTACGAGTATATTTTCAATATGTATATTAAAATACGAATTACATATTAAAACTTATAACCTTCACCTAAGACTACATGATTGACCCGATGTTAGGATAGCAATACCATTCCATAGCTTGTGTGGCAGGAATCTTCTGGTTCACACGGCTTGGTGTTTGTTCCGCGGAGTCAGCGGCGTCACTGGGCGTCGCCCCAGGGATGTTAATTTTTTTCTTCATATGTAGCGCGTACGTAACATAGTTTTAATTAGGTTGTGTACACACAAAAAAGTTATTTTGTTTGCCTTGTTTTGAAATAATAATAAGAATGTTTGAATCTCCAGTGGATAATCCTTTTTAAATAACTTTTATAAAGCTGTGAACAGATCGTAATTGTTTTAAGGTACTTTCATATCTTAGAGGTAGTTGAGAGATTCATAAAGTATATAGATGTGCCTTCTGATCGGACTGCTGTAACATTATGCGCGAATTTTATCAATCTTTAAATGAAATTAATATTTTCTGATTACTTCGCGTATTTTATTACATACTCAAGATAGTTTAGCGGATGCGTAGTCAACCTTGAGTGGAGAAAAGGGGGATGAAAGGTTGAGGAAAGGGAGAGAGCATCCAGCTCATTAACTCGTTGAACGAAACGCAGTCATTAAAGATTATTTGAAATAGATCTTCTATAGAGGATGCTTCTTCCCCGGTCGAGCTAGCCCATGTTCGAGCTGTAGTAATTTGTCTACATCTAGGCTCTAGCAAAATAACAGTTTCTCATTCATTAATCTTGTCAAATCATAGTACTAATATAGTTTGAATGAGAAACGTGAAACTCTCAGTACGTCGTGTGAAGATGGAGACTTGTTCTAAGGCTATAAGTATGGATAATTTCTTCATTACATTAACGAGTTTAACATTACACACTGTTACAGCGATCATGTTCAGTTACGGGACATAGTACTAAAATGGTATTAACCATTGTGCTATTAGTGTTTAGAAAAAGGGAAAAGACAACCGGCTCTCTCACTCATCCAAGTCGAGGTCAAAATTAACTTTTGTAATGTTAGTAATATAAATTTGTTTCTATGCAATCGAATATCATGGCTATAGAGTGCAACATTTTGAGATTTGAGTTAAACCTGCCTCGAAAACACCACTTCCTACGGATACGGATCATAATTATTCATACAATTTAGATATAATTTTTGAATTTATGGACAGCAAACATCGAATATTTATTTCCTTTTTTTACTATAAATATAATATAAACGAAATATCAATCAAGTGGAGTGTCTGTCGTTAACTTGGAGAAAGTCATGTCTGCTCAATATAAGTTCATTTCCTCCTCGACAATATGAGTTATTTGACTACCTTGAGCGCTTACAAATCTTCTATATCTTTTTCATATTTGTTTCTCTCTTCGTACCTGCCTTAATTTCTCATTCAATTTCAGCGGCTGTCTATATTTGCTTACCTGTTTTTAATTGAAAAGACGCAATTGTGCGTTTCAATATCAATCAATAGAACGTGATTTAATAATTTCATTTCTAATTTTCTACTAGTTCATATACAATATAAGACTATAATCATTTAGATCTTCTAAATTCTAAAATATCGGACTATAATTATTTTCATTAGGATTCTTCTGGAGGCGAAGTAAATCAATACCACCAAAACTTTGTTGCAAAAAAGTTTTTTCAACTCTTAATAATTTTCCGATAACAATAAATTAGTATTAAAAATTAAAATAGTAAACACAATAAGGACATGTTTTAAAGTGTATCAACTTTATTTAACAATCCCAGAGGGTCATAACGCTTTGAGATAGCCTCTGTATACATTTATATAATTATTAACCTGGTTTTACAAGTGTCATGTCATCAGCATATCAGAGCCCACTACTGAGCCAAGGCCTCTTCTCACATGGAGAAGGTTTGAGCATTAATCACCACGCTCGCTCAAGACGGGTTGGTGATTACAAACTTATAATTGTGAAACTATTTATAAGTCCAGGTTTCCTCACGATGTTTTCCTTCACCGTATGTCAGTGGTGTCTAAATAAATACTCTCGGAAAGTACATATGACACATTGGTACTTGCCAGGTTTGAACCCGCGCCCTCGGACACGAGAGGCGGGCCCTTTAACCACTAGGCCACCACTGACTTACACTTCAAGTACGAAAATATTTTGTTACGTTTTAGTTACAACTTCAAATATTATAAAAAGTTTAAAGTGAGAAGTTGAATGCCTTGTGAACTGTTGGAAACTCCACTTGTAGCCGTTTCTTAGCTTATTAATATAATCTTATCCTATAACTTGCTTGGTATGTAATCTGTATATGAACTAGTGATGTGTCACAGGTCACAGTTCGCTCGATAGGAAGCGTCACAAGCTTGTCTTTTAGCATTAAACTGTTGATTATCCGGGCATTCAACACACACCGCCTCGCTCTGAGAAGTAGAACAGTAGTAGAACAAGCCACAGTCGTCAGGATGCTTCATGAAGTAACCGTCGTAGGTCGCGCCTTCACAGGTAACTTGGGTTACGCTTTTATCCATACAACGCTTTGAGTGGCTGCGAACAGATATTAAACTTATGAAGAGAATAATATTTTATTTTCGTTAAACTTGAAACTCGTTCGTTTTCTTGATATTCTGTTTTCATAGTTTTCCTTCATTAAAAACTTATTTGTTTGGTATTTTGTAAGTTATTTTAGATAACTTACCTTGTGTCTGCCGCTTTGTTCTCGACAACACAGGCGAGGAATATGAAGAGGAACACTAGTCTCTGAATACCGAGCATGGCTACTATATTGATGGTGAACGAAGACGAAACCTTTCAGTCTATTTTATAGTCCCTTCATTGCCACTTGTTTTCTTTCTGACCATCTTTTGCATAAGTTTATATATGATCATACTTATTTAGTTTATTATATCTATTAACCTTGTTTTATGCTTCATTAATTTGCCATAAAATTTGACACACAGCCATCCATTTGTGGGTCTCAGATAATATGAGTGTCGATTAAGGATCATAAGTAATAAAGTTTAAAAAAACTGTCACATTGCTTGAGTTTTTTTACTTAGATAAGGGTACCGAATCTATGGTTTCAGTATAATCTTTTTATTTACTTATCTACAATTTAGATGTAAAATACTAAGATATGACAAGACAGTGATTGTGTGAAATATTGAATGAAACCTTCAATGCTATTATAGAGAAATACCTATTTTATCAGAATTCTTGTAAAAATCCACAGTAAAAATGCTTGTAAGGTAGAAAATCAGTGGCGGCTGGTGGGTTATCGAACTGGTGGTTCACTTTACTAAAATATTGACAAAAACAACAATTGACATAAAATATGTTTATTTTTTGTACATTAAATCAATGCGACGACATTTTTCTGTAGCGAAATGTTCTATCACCTTTTTATTAAAATCTGATTCCAGTTTCTGTCCAAATCGATTCTCCGACAAAAATAATGCAAGGAAAACAAAAGAATGCATTAAGACGCTCACATCCACACAACCATTTCTTTCTATTATACATTTCACTTTTAAAACTTCGTATAAATGCTTTATTTTTCGATTTACACTCTTGTTTTAAATTTAAAAAGGGCCGTGGCGGCCCGGCCAATTTTATGATCACTTTACTTTGAAAAATTTTGTTATTTTCTTTAATATAATCAATATTTATACTCATTTTCAACTAATAAAAAACACAGTACAGAATAAAAGTTCTATTATAGAAACGAAATAAAAACTAAAACGAATTACGGAAATAATTATAAACAATAACGAATTAACGCGTCACGCATACAGTGAAAGTTGAAACAATACCAATAACGATTAACGAAATGTCAATCATAGCACCCATCCTTTCGGCCGGCCCCTTGCCGGCCGGCTCAATACGTCATACATCGGGTGCTCTCGGTAACCTTCGGCCGCTCGTGCGGCGCTCGAGAACCGACTCGTTACTCGGTACATTTCTATGAACTATCTTTTGTCTCACGCGCCAGGCGTATTGATGCGTGTCTCATACAAGATGTATTAGCAGTCCTCGTGCACTCGCCGGAGCGCACGATATGAGTTTAGTAAAGCGCTCAAACTTTTTGACCATAATTGGAAATTAAATTTTTTATACCTTTTTGTATGTTTAAAAAATAAATATTAAAATGGTAATTTAAAAATTAAGATGACATAATATTTTGTAATTTTTAAATATTTTGAATTGGTGGTTCAGCGCACGGGCGCACTTAAGGTACAGCCGCCACTGTAGAAAATAAATAGGTACTGGTAAATATTAGTAGCAGCGATTTACAAAAAATTGGTTCTAGTTTAATGTATGGAACATTACAAATTTGATATGAATACCTATAAGTAGTCCATTATAATAAAGAAATGTTTATTTTATTATACTATATATTATTTAATAAAGACTCATTATTATTACCGGTTATTTTATCTCTCTCACGAGCCAAAGTCGATTGAAACGTGTCTAGTTTTGAAAGTGTCTAGGTTAGAGTGAGTTTTTGGCTGAATTTTTAAAATAATACGTTTTTAATGTCATTGCCGCTTGTAACTTGTAATAAAATATAATTTAAATGAAGTGAGCATTGATTCTTATGTTCTTAATGAACAATAATTTTTTTTAAGCGATCTAAGACTTTCATGACTATCAATTTAAAGGAAACTAATATTTTTTCGGACTACTACTCGTTATTCTATTGTTTTTAACAACTGCATACTACCGATGAGATGCAGACATCATTAAGTACCTAATTATCATCAGTGATTAATAATAACTATTTGATTAATATTCTACACATAATGCTCCTCTAATGAGATGTATAATTTGTAACAGTTGTCTGGGGAACAAAAAAGAGACAAATACATCACCAGGCAGGTGCAGAGTACGCACCGACTGTCAGGGAGACGTCCGCGTGGCTGGCGTCTCTCTCTTTAAAAACAAGAAATTTGTAATAAATCCGATATACTCATTGGAAACTTAATTCTAACCTATAATCTTACGTCACGTCCCTAACTTCAAACTGCACACGTAGCCTTCCCCGTATTACATTCAATAACTTAATTAAGTACTATTATAAAATGACATATTTAAGAATGAGTAGGTACTGTTAACGTTCCGTATGTATAATGCGAACTTGGAGTAAACATACTGTATGCACTATGTGTTGTAGTAAAAGTTTATACTTAGTCATTTTCAAAATTTACCGTGAATTTTGCATTTGCGTAATGCAGCATGAATCAAACAACAGTCACTATGACTAACTTAATAAAAAAAATATCTGCAGTCGGAAACAAGAACTCAAAATTTACATTCATTCAATAATATATTTTTATAAACATCGCTGACTCCAATGTAAATATGTGAAGTAATAATCAGAGTTCTTAAATCTTGTACTTCTTAATTAAAACGTAAATAATAAATTCACTTTGAGTGTTTCATCTCTCCAAATTATGAATCACCAATCAAATATCATTAAATATCCCTACTAATATTATAAATGCGAAAGTAACTCTGTCTGTCTGTCTGTTAAGCTTTCACGCCCAAACCACTGAACTGATTTTAATGAAATTTGGTACAGAGATAGAGTTGACCATGAGAAAGAACATAGGATAGTTTTTATCCCAGACTTTTGAAAGGTTCTCTTGGAAACACGATATAACCGAACTCCACGCGGGCGAAGCTGCGGGCGGAAAGCTAGTCATAAATAAGGTGAAAAACCAAAACTAAATATTTCATCTAGCAACCCCTTTATGTTTAAACACAAATAAAATAATAAATTATTCAGTAATAAGTTTTTAATGTCGTCGCATTTCAGAAACCGTACATCGTGTTATATTCTATTCAGAAGGTTCTTCTGGTTCATCACCAGAAGCTTCGCAGCCCGCGTCTTCAGGGTTGTCGCAGACTCTCTTTATAGGGTTGAAGTGTAGATTGGCCGGGCATTGTCTGCACACGGGCTCACTGTCCGGAGAAACGCAGTAATAGAACAATTCACAGTCATCGGGATGTGGCGCTAGGGCGTCCTCGTTGTCAACATCTTTACAGGACACGGGCGTCTTACTGTTGTCGATACAACGTTGAGGGATGTCCTGCTCGGGCTTACTATAACAGAAGTTGACACTAGTCAGTAGTCTCACTACCCGTTTTATAACAGGTCTACATGATTAGCATGCAGACTCAACCATAATCTGTATCAAAATCATTCCAGGTCTATATCGAAGTATTATCAAAATTTGGTTTATAAAACGCATAGGAAATACGTTTTTAAAGTTAAAAGAACAATTTACAAATTAACATAACTAAAACGACATCATCATATTATCTATTGTCGTTAAAGAACGATAAAAGTAACAAAAAGTTTACTCCAGTTTGATACTTACGTTTCGTTGGGGGCGCTGTTGGCGGCAGCATATAAGACTGCCAGGACCAGGAAGATGAAAAGAAGGAAGAAACCCCGGAGACCAGCCATCGTTAATGATTAATGATTAACGGAAGGAAAATAAGCTATTTATACACCGACTTCAAGTGTTAGCTGCACATTCGTGGTGAGTACCGTTATCTTCAAGAATAAGGAGCGATATATGATTAGCTTATCAAATGAATTGAAGTATTTATTGGAAATATTTGCATTAAAAGTTAGGTAAATTATGAATATATTGTTTTGAATTTGAAAATAGCTATATGGCGGTATCGAGAAATTCGGGGAAGTCTTAAATGCATCCGGGACGTTTGTATTCTGTACCCGGAATAAACAGTTGGGTATTTCAAGGGGATTTTACCCCTATGATGGGATGTGTCAAGTCGCACACCGAGATTAGATCTCGTATTATTGAGACTCTGCTCAGACGCAAATATTGTTGTAGGCATTCCTTTAGCAACACCTGTGTGGTTTATGTGTACTATCACCGCCTTTACACTAACTCCTGTAAGAAACGACTTCTGTGGCAATATTTTTTAACTTTTGAGTTACAGTCTCACTTTTAGACTCCGTTACAATCGAACTATATCTACTCAAACAGTCAGCATAGTCATATATAATACTGGTGGAGTCAGATCTTGATCGATCTCTGCAAACATAGAGGCTATCTTTACCATTGAACCGTCAAGCTAGACCTCCAATATATGCTTGACTAGAATGAGAAAAAGGCTCACAATACGATAGCTCTGGTTCATATTCGCTCCATTCATGGCAATAAATAGGCGATAGTTGAATTATAATTTGTTTGTGTCTACGATGAGCGCTGACCATGTCAATAGCTCCATGATCGTCTATCCAGAGTCTAGGGTTTAATTTAAGTATAGATATGAGCTTTACGTGCTAGCATGTTTAAAGAAAAGATCGAGTAACAGGTATTTCTCTATGACACTGCATCATCAAAAAATAAATCGAAGTAAATATATTTATTCTGTCTTCCAAACCCACTATTAAAGAACGTCGTCAAAATCGTTAGAGCTCCAATTTTCATTTAACATTCGATTAATGTATTACCATATAAGAAAACATATGAAAGGAGACTAATAAAACAATATTCAGTCGTAGTATTTATTTTTTTAAAAACATAAACACATCTTAGGGAACTAGGTGACTCTTTAAACAATCGGAACTATGTATTATTTATATCAAAATCAGTGCAGCCCAAGGAAAATTTGAAAACCGATAGTATCACACGGGCGAGCCTTAACAATAAAAATATAAAATAACAAACACTATATCCTATTATTATTAAAAGCACCGGGAGATAACTTCGTTGTTAGTTTATGTACTGCTAAAGATATGTACACGTGGACGGCTGATAACTAACGCTATGCTTATACTACTACGAGTCCCCGACTACCCTCACGATATGTAACATTATAGAACAGTCCTCTGGCATGTGGTGTAGGGTGACCATGATCGTGTTCAGTCTGCTTGTCCACTCTCCGAGGAGCTGGACTCCCTCCTCCTCCCCGACTCCTCCTTATTCCCTTTAACTCCCTCCGTTTCCTTTTCCTTCGTCTCGTTCTCCAGACTGATTCTCGCGGTGTCCGGTATAATGAGCTCGCCAAGAATGTCCCTGGGTAAACATTATTTATTACAGACATATCTATGTAAATATTATAAATTATAATTGTAGAGGATAGTGTATGCGATGGAAGATTAAGGGAATATATATGGATGTTTCAGAACATCAGGTTATGAGGTGTATCGTCTATGTCTGTGTGTGTGTGTGTGTGTCGTAAAAACAATTAGCCAAAACTATTCACAACATGTAAGACAGATCCTGGCTAAAGTTCGGAAATTGTCAGGTAGAAGAAGAAATTAATGTAGTAATATTTGAGTACTATATTTGTAATGTATGTGTGTGTGTGTGTCTGTCTGTGTATGTGTACTAACGCCACGTCGTCCGCGGTGCGTCCCCTCTTGGTCCAAGTAAAGAACTCGTCCCCCAGTTTGAGCGTCACGTTGCTCTTCATAATAAGTTTCACCGGTTCTTGTCCCTGTGTGTTCATCGCTCTATTCAAAGGCAGCAGGTCTGACCTTCGAGGAGCCCGCGAGCTGGTGGGCGCGCGACGACCTGGGTCTGTATATATATATCTTTATATAGATAATTCTTCTGTGAGTGTGTATGTCACTGAACTTCTCTCAAACGAATGGACCGATTTTTATGAAATTTTTTGTGTGCGTTCAAGGGGATCTGGGAATGGTTTAGATTCACGATTTTGTCTTCTGGACAATGTTTTTTTAATTAATTTTAATTTATTATTGTTTTTTTTTAACTTAAGATTTGACAATTAACTAATATGTCAATCATTCTGTCGCACTTCAAAACACGGATATTTATGGCTTTAATAGGCAAACTCAAAAAATATAAATAAAAAAACGTAACAGATATTTCTTGATTATAGGGCGATACGAAGTTCGCCGGGTCTTCTAGTATATAAATATATTATTGTTCCTTTGTATACTAGTATATCCTTCATTCATTCATGACAGGTGTAGTGAGTGTGTATTATATATGTATGTCTGACCAGGTCGTTCATCTCCGTCCACCATGGGCGTGTCGTCAGCTGAACTCTCCATCCTCATAGAATCCTCCCAGTCACCCACTCTAGGAAACATATACACATATATTATTATTAAGACATTAGACATTATTATTATTAGACTAACATAGTTTTATAAGTAAAAAAATACTAACAAGTGGGCCTATGTTGCACAAATAAAGAAATTATTATTATTATTATGTACATATTATATACTACAATGAGCCTATGTAATAACATAAGAATGATAGACATACATATATCCCTACTAATATTATAAATGTGAAAGTAACTCTGTCTCTGTTACGCTTTCACGCCTAAACTACTGAATTGATTTTAATTAATTTTTTTACAGACATAGAGTTGACCTTAAGAAAGAACAAAGGATAGTTTTTATCCCAGACTTTTGAAAGGTTCTCTTGGAAACGCGATACAACAGAACTCCACGCGAGCGGGCGGAAAGCTAGTACATATATATATGTATTCTCACCGCGGTGCTCCTGTAGTAGTTTTGTTTTTCTTCGTCCGTTTCCGTTTCTTCAGATGCTGAAAATATAACAAATGTGTTTGTTCATAACATTGCCAGATAGCAGAATAAAATATGGCTCTGACAGTAACATATAAAGACTATTTATATTGATTATAACATATTTATTCTTATATTTAATTAAGTATATTAACACCTCTTTTGATTATTTTCAAATAAACTAAGATTTAGGCACAAATGTGTTTTTTTCACCACGTTTTTACGACACTCTTCTGAGGTCATCTTTCTGCAGGTAATTCCCCCCTTCCTTCTGTATATTAACTGTTCGTGTATCATCCTTCCCTTACCTTGGCCAGTGTCCCCATGGGTTTAATCTCCACAAAGTCTTCTATAATAATCTTCTTAGACCCAGGTCTGTTCATCTCGTCCTGGTCTCCAACCTCCTCTTCTTTATTTTCAATGTTATTATTGTTGGCGTCTCCATTCTCTGAACTCGCGGCGACCGGTCGATGTTTTTTCCGTTTCCGTTTCTTTAGAGGTTTGGTCTGAAAATCATAATATTTCGTTGAGACAAACATAAAACCTAAATTTATTCAATAATTCTCGCGATATCTTATAATTTACTTGTTTCTAATTAAATATTTTTTGTTTAAAAAAATGCTTTAATACAAACATCTAGCACTAACAATAATAGCAATAAAAAATTTGAAATTTACGCAAAAAATGAAAAAATAAACACCAAGAAGAATCGAACCTTCTATCTTCAAGATATGTGTTTCCAACATATTAACAACTGAACTACCGTGTCTTTAACCAGCTCCTAACCATCACACACATTGTAATGTCCCAAAGATATAATACAATACATCCTACTAATATTATAATTGCGAAAGTTTGTGTGTGTGTGTATGTTTGTTACTTCTTCACACTCAAACGGCTGAACCGATTTTGATAAAATTTTGTATACAGGAAGCTGACGTCCAGGAATAACACATAGGCTACTTTACATCCCGGAGATACGCGGGTAATTCCGCGGGGCGCAGCTAGTATAATATAATAGTATATCAAATAAATTAATATATATTAACCTGAGGATAGTCGAGCGCTGGGTCGGGCGGCGGGGTGTGGAATGTGTAGGGGTCGTAGGTGTCAGGGGTGTCATTCGTGTCAGGAGTGTCTCGCGTGTTGAGGGTGTCGGTGGTGAGTGTCTGTGAGTGTTCCCGGTTCACGAGATCAGACACCTTGTTCCGTTCGAACACACGACCGTTGTTGATGACCTGGTACAATGATTAACTTGGATTATTCATCGGGAATTACTTATTTTTAATTAGTAAAGTAGTTTAATTAGTAGTAAATTCAGAGTGCTCAAAAATATCTATCTTATACATAAAACAGAATCAGTGGTGGCCTAATGGTTAAGGGGCCCGCCTCTCATGCACGAGGGCGCGGGTCTGATCCTGGCCCTGGCAAGTACCAATGTGATTTTTCTGAGTCATATGTACTTTCTAAGAGTATTTAGACATCACTGATTAATGCATTCTAAAAGAAGGTTGAAGTCAGGCATTAAAAACAATTAGCCAAAACTATACACTACATGTACATAAGGCAGACGCTGGCTATAGTTGGAAAATTGCGAGGTAGAAGAAGATATAAAACAATAATTGGTAAATGGGTTTCAGTTCGTGGTATATTTATCAGAGCCAGGACCTAGTTGATAATGAATTTAAATTATTTCGTTCATAGCTACATTTATACGCACAAACAATCATAAAAATCTTATCAGAACCCTATCATAATACACCAATGGAAACAACATCAACATCAGTGCAGCTGTTTCTAAGACCATATGTTAACAGTTATCTATTGGAGTCCTAACACTACATAGTTATCTTATATCTGTTATGTGTATGTGTGTGTATGACCTTGATGTCCCTTTTTTTTCGGGGAGAAATCTGACATGATCTGACCTGGCACGACAGTGGAATTTGTATGAAGTCGCCTAAAGCCAGATGGTGTTGGCCCTGGGAATACCCAGTAAAACCGCCGGGTTTCCCTTCCTGCCCGTATTGGGGGCGATTTGGGACCTATTAGAGTGTATGTGTGTATGTATGTGTGTGCGTGTGTGTGTGTGAGTGACCTTGATGTCCCTGTCGTTGAGTATGGTGACCAGGTCCCTCACGAAGCTGTTGTTCGGGTAGAGCCGCGCGTGTCTACAGTACACGTCAACCTCCAGATGCTCCGTTTCATTCCTCACTAGCTTCAATATGAACTTGTTCTTCTTCTTGTGTTTCTTCTTCCTGTGATGTCTTCTGGTCGTCGTGTCCTCGTATGAGAGGAGTGATCGGGAGATACGTCTGGAATATACTTGAATCTCGTATGAGATTGTATGGTATCCTACTAATATTATAATTGCGAAAGTTTGTGTGTGTGTGTATGTTTGTTACTTCTTCACGCTCAAACGGTTGAACCGATTTTGATAAAATTTTGTTTACAGGAAGCTGACGTCCAGGAATAATATATAGGCTACTTTACATCCCGGAAATCCGCGAAACACCGCGGGACGCAGCTAGTAAATAATAAGTTGATCACCCTTACCGCTGACCTCTCAGTTTCTTTAATTTAATTTCTTGCTCGCTCGGCACCTCATTATCTGTAGATAAACACTTATATTAGAATTTATAGTCCTAGTTTAGTTTCATATAACACTTAAAATATCCACTAAAATTGTAACACAGACAGAAAAACTATAATAGTGAAGACAAATTCTCTAATATTTGTATATACAGTGTACTTTACCTAACATTAAAATATTAAACATACTAACCATTCATTCTAAAATCATTAATCTCGCTGTAGTCTATGACCCATATTTGTGACCGACCAGGTCTACATCGCCTCACCAGAGCATCAGACCCCGAGATGCCTGTACTGTGTAGGCAGAGACCGCTCTCTGTATGCTGGATTTGTTGTGTAGGCAGATATCGCCAGTGCTGTATAATAAAGAAGTTTCAGTTATATTAAAAATATATATAGAAATCTTATTTGGAAGACTAGAATATAGCATTTACATTAATATGCCCATCTATGAGAACTAAAAGCAAGATATTACACATACAGAAAGAGAATGAAAATGGATGGGCCATTAAAGGAATGAAGTTCCTTTAAACTGAATAATAGTTAATGGGATATAATTAGTGTAGGGACCAAATTCTAGCACGGGAATAATAATTAATTCTTTTTCACAAATTAATTGTCTAAAGCATCTAGGCCAAGCAAGCTAAGTACAACTAGTGCACCGAGCCACGCCAGAGTCTTTAGAATAATCTTGCACGTCTTTTATACGGGCACAGCTAGAAGTGGGGAGAGTGGGGGGCATCGAATGGCGTGCTTGGTGCACGTGTTGGTTATAGTTTCGCTTAGTTGGCGCGCAGGGCCCGACAAATATAATCGTTCTTTTGGGTACACTCAGCTTTTTGCTCGATACTAAACAATGTTTAGGGCTCCCACACAAAACCACGAATTCGCATCGCATCGCAGTTTTGTGTGGGAGCCCTTAATTGTCTAAAACCAACCTGTCCTCGATGTTTTCCATGACAGGTGACCATCAACACTTTCCTGCTGATGTTTTCGTTGGAACCAACTGGATTTCTATAGAAAAGATATATGAGACTAAATAACACAATTGTTCGTAACATTTGGAAGGTACTTTAAGTTCTTGCAACATAAACCTGATGGATGGGGTTTAAAAAATATATTACTGTTAAGAATATATAATCGGTTTGTGATGAAGAAACTTTGCAATGACGGAAAATTACGGGTTATTTAAGTACTTGGTTGAGAAATGATAGCATGTACCTTCCATTTATGGTATATATTTCTTGTAAACTCACCGCTCATACTGAACTTCAGCGCATTTCTCTTCATCCCTCAATTCTCCAGTCAGAGATAGTGAAAGGTGCTGCGTGGGTTCAAGGCGAGTGTGACAGGGGTAGAGACCCAGTGCTGTCGCCTCACCTTCCCTTTGAAGAGTGTCGAGACACATCGACGAAGATGGGTTCATGAATCTAGTCATGAATTAGGACACGGTGAGTAAAGCAGTAACTTTATGATGACTCTAATCTGATGATTATTAGAGTAAGATTATCATATTATTATAGTTTTTCTCAAGAAGATACACTAGGTCTTACTAATCAATATCAAAGGCTGACGCTTCTAGACTAGAAATATTAAATTGTTAATATTGACAAAGGGTGAATATAACGATAAAAAATTAATTTATTTTTTCGCAAGATTTTTAATTGCTCGTTGCCTATAAACTGATTTAAATATATAGAACATATATTACATAATCTTCATGAAAACTTTTTAAATATCATAAGATTAAAAGCCACAATAAGTCGTCTTAGTATTTCCTAACATCTCATTAAGAAGACAAGCCAGTTAGTGACTATACATATAGAATCCATTTCGTAGTATTTTTAACCTTAAATAAATAGACTAATAGAAAATGAAGTGGTGTTCTTGTACATGATAGTTTTCAAGTAATTTATTGTATAAACATTCGATGAGTGCCTTATCAATACAATCTGTTATCAAGACCACTTTATAAATAATTAATCAATACTACATAAATTTATAATAATAATTATTATTTATAAACTAATTTTAACCGACTTATAAAAAGGTATTGTATGTTTTTATTTCTTTGTTTTCAGAAATTTGTCCTTTCTATGGCTTTTAACACACTTTTATCAGCTTGGGTTATATGTATGCACGTAGCTTAATTTTCATCAGTTTCTAGAAGTCTGAATAATTTGAAATTTTGCATAAGTATCAAGGACCGATGATAATGCAATAATTTGATAAAAGTTTTCCATTATCCTTATTAGGACCGCCAGGATTAATGAACTCTTTTACAGAGAGATAGAGCTTGAGCGCGGACTGCGCATAAAAAAGAAATCGTTTTAAAAAACTAAAAAAAAATACAAGCTTTTATAGCTAACGAAACTAAAAAATAGGAAATAATTTTCAAAAAATAAGAAATTATTTTAGTTTAGAGAAAAAAGCGTGGGGTTCATTCGAGTACATTTCATGTCTTTCTTCTCATAGACAGCTGCCACTAGAATGACTGTAACATTCAATATCAAGCGTGTTTTTAAACTATGTGTTATTATTTATTTTGACTGAAATTAATATTATAAGTCAGTGGTGTCCTAGTGGTTAAAAGGCCCGCCTCTCAAGCACGAGGGCGCGGGTTCGATCCCGGCCCTTGCAAGTACCAATGTGATTTTTCCGAGACATATGTACTTTATAAGAGTATTCAGACACCACTGATTAATGCATTCCCAAAGAGGGTTGATGTCAGGCAGGCGGCCGATCGTAAAAACAATTAGCCAAAACTATTCACAACATGTAAGGCAGACCCTGGCTGAAGCTGGGAAATTGCCAGGTAGAAGAAGAAATTAATATAGTAATATTTGAGTATTATATTTGTAATGTATGTGTGTGTGTGTATGTACAGTACCTCCCGAACCCGAACACATCTCTAACAGGCACGAACTTCTCCTTGTATATGTTGTCCAGGTACCACTGGAAGCTCTTACACTTCAACTTCTCACGGAGGATCTTACGGTGGGTCACGTCGCCGATCTTGGGACTTTTCTGCCGAAAAATGATTGAATATTAAACAATATTATGGATTTTATTATCAATAATATTGATAACTAATGAAAAAAACTTAAAAGTAAAATTAAATAATTATAAACGACTAGTTTTTGCCCGCGACTTCGTCCGCGTTAGTTTGGTCAAGAGTAATATATGTAGGTGTAGCTGACCAGGCGAACTCTATTCCGTGTTAGAGGCCATAAATAATCAGGTTTTGCTTGTTTCAATCAAACAGAATGATTGACATATTAGTTAGTTGTCAAATCTAATGTCAAAAAAAGCGTTTGTATAGGAAATAGAAAAGGGCTGTTTTTAGGGTTTTACTAAAATTAGCGAAATCGGTTCAGCTGTTCTCGAGTTTTAGCGAGACTAAGGAACAGCAATCCATTTTTATATATATAGAAGAAGAAGATAGAAGATTAAAGGTTTATGAAAATCGTGTGAGTATAAACGCGCCGTGATTGGTCACGATACTTGTGACGTTTATTTATTACTTCAAACATTATGACGTCACACGCGCTCGGGTTTGTTCGTGTGACATCGACTTGTCTTCAGCAGAAGATTCAAAAAAAACATTTTTATTTTAACATAACTTTGAATTAGTACCAAAATAATTAAATAAATATTGTTTTGTTACAAGACTTATATGATTTTGTATTTGTAACAAAAAAAAGCCAATTATTATTATGCAACAAATGTCGTCATATATAGTTGGAGAAAGTGATATTGTAATACTATACTAAATAGCTTTTCTTGGCAAATCCTACAACAGTATTAAGCTGTCTGTATTGTTGGAAGAAAATCTTTGTAGGCAGCACGATCAATGATAAGGAACAAACATAACCTCACAGAATATAACTACAATTTATTTTCAAATTATACCATTTTTATACCATGTACCTCGGTTTTTAAATATTTATCAGATTTATCAAGGTAAATAAGTATTTGCAAATCATTTTCAACAAACCATCAAATATATAAATTACTTTTTCTATAATATCTATATAATTAACTAATAAAGGGCCATCATATATATAATGTGTAATTATGTCATTAACAATGGTTATTCTCACCCTGAGGTCGGGTCGGTTCAGGTAGAACAGCTCCGCGTACTCGTCCATCCACACCTCGGCCATACGAGCTGTGTTGATACCTGGTACAAAATATTATATGAATTCAGATACACATGTCCACTATACTCGGACACCTGGCTGCATACTATGATAAAGGTCTAATTAAGTTAGATGTGTGTCTAGTGTACTAGGACAACTGTCTACACGGTCTAATATACTCCGATAAGGGTCTATTTTACTTGGATACATGTCTCTAGTGTACTTTGATGATAGGTCTCGTTTAGTTTGACACATATGTACATCTCGAATATTTGGATTCTTGTGTTTATTGTATCGTATATGTGCCAAGTTTATTTCGATCTGTGTGTATAATACTTTTGTGTATGTGTGTAGTGTATAAGGATGTAAGCTTCTATTTACCCAGCCAAATGTGTCTAGTACACTGAGATGTACACAATTTGTTGTGAGCCGCGGAGACAGTGTACGTTACATGTATGTGTGTGTGTGTGTGTTTGTGTGTGTACCGTGGGTGTCTGTGTGAGCTGGTAGTCCGTAAGGATGGAAGGCTCGGAACACGTGACCCACACGAGAACACGGCACCGTCTCCAATGTACCACCACCTGAAACGGAAAATATATATATTTTAGACAAATATCCTTTTTTAATAGCAATATATACGGCAGTATATATAATATTATCCCTACTAATATTATAAATGCGAAAGTAACTCTCTCTGTCTGTTACGCTTTCACGCCTAAACCACTGAACTGATTTTAATGAAATTTGGTACAGACATAGAGTTGACCTTGAGTAAGAACATAGTTTTTATCCCAGACTTTTGAAATGTTCTCATGGAAACGCGATATAACCGAACTCCACGCGGGCGGAAAGCTAGTTAAAAATAAAATAAATAATTTATCCATAGACAGGATTCGAACCGCCGACGTTAAAAAATCGCGTAATATTCGCTTTACTAGGTAAGATATCACGTCCATACTTTTTGTATATTTAAACTTTATATCGAGAATGTTCATATATACATATTTGTTTTGACCTGAATTTATTTTACAGTTTTTTGGACCAGGGATGATTAGAAAGGAATAATAAGATGTTGAATGTAAGATAGGATACGAAAATACTCTTTGCTCCAGAGTATGGATTGATTACATCTGGTAGGTAAAACTTACTATAGTACGTTTGATTTAAGCTGAGCTTTGCATTTGTGTGAGTGTACACGGATAGTGTAGGTGATGTCAAATTTTTGAATGCCACGTTCTTTTCTAGTTTTGAACCGGTTTATTCCGCTTTTACTCCGCCCCGCACCTTCCTCACTTCACCTTTTGCAATATCAAATTTTGAAAACGCAATGTCAAGTGAATAAGAATTTGTATAGTTTTCAATCAAATTTGTATAGTTTTCAAATTCTTATTAATCAATAATTTTTTTTTCACAATATTCATTATGTTTCCATCTGGACTTTTACAAGTTTTGCTTATTTTATAGCACTTATGTTATGTATCTATTTAAAATATAATAAAATATAATACTAAAAGTTTTTTGTCTAAGTCTACTTTTACTTTCACTCACACAAATGCAAAGCTCAGCTTAAGTCTAACGGACTATAATTCATTGGAGTCATCTAACCACGTTTACTAAATCCATATAAAATCCTCATTCGCAGACAAACTTCGTGTTATATTTCGTCACTGATTTGGTCATACGTGTGACGTCATCAACTCACACTGCCATATCCGGAAGGACATTTCCAGGTTCTCTCCTCCCCAGCCGGCCATTTGCTCGTCATACGCTCCCAGCTCCCAGTAATACTGGCGATTGATGGCGAATAAACCGCCTGCCATAGTTGGTGACCTGGAAATATAGATATATAAATAGATATGTATGTATTTAACTTAAGGAAGGTTTAAAGATAGGCTTCATTCTTCTTACAATTATATTATGAACAAAGAATGAATTAACCAAAAACAAACATTTGACGGTATGTAATAAATTATATAAATTATTTGACGGTAAAGTCTCTTAAAGATTTTATCTTAAAAGGGACTTAAAATCTGTAATTTTTGCTTATATACAAAACTCTTTATGGCTGTTAGAGATACATACATATGTACATATGATTTAGTCAGTGGTGGCCTAGTGGTTAAGAGGCCCGCCTTTCAAGCTCAAGGGCGCGGGTTCGATCCTGGCCCGGACAAGTACCAATGTGATTTTTCTGAGTCATATGTACTTTCTAAGAGTATATTAGACATCACTTATTAATGTTGATTCCCAAAGAGGGTTGATGTCAGACAGGCAACCGGTCGTAAAAACAAATAGCCAAAACTATTCACAACATGCGAGGCAGAGCCTGGCTATAGCTGGGAAATTGCCAGGTAGAAGACACATGTGCATATGATTGTGTCACATATGACTGTAACTCACCAGGTCGGCGCTATGTCTGAGCCGCGTCTTTTCTTCTCTCTCTCTGGAACCTCGATCCAGGTGAAGTGTCCCGTAAATGTAAAGCCACCTACCTGGAGTTAACATTTATATTAATTAATGAAAAGTTAATGAGATCTAAGATTTTCCTGAGTATTCATTTAAATGAAACTAATACATATTTTTCGGATTATACTACGCGATTTTATTTTTGAAAAAAAAGTATGTACTCCCGATGTTTCGGCTACTTTACAGCAACCGTAAAATATTAGTTTCATTTAAATGGAGTTAAAGTTATTAAGATAAATCCAATGATTACATGTTAGTATGACCAAGAATGATGCTAACTTATCCTAAGCATGCGGAAGGTGCAAACAACAAAGTGACCACAGAACAAAAAGCAGGCAGCGACAGATGAGATGCATTGTTTTTTATGTCAGTGTTTTATGTCATATGTTAATGATGTGTTTTCTCTTCTACTTTATTTGTTATAATGTTTTGTTAATTCTTATTAGGTATATCTAAATTGTTAAATCATTGTAAATAGTATATTTATCATTTTCCGACATAGACTCGGGATTTTTTCGCTGACAATTGTATTGATAATATTAGTAAGAACTTATTTACCTACAAGTGGATATATTTAACCACAAATAATTTAAAAGTCACTGTATTCAATACATTTTTTTTGCTTTAAAATAATATATTTTACATTCTACGCCCATTTCTATTTATTTCCATCAACCGTGATCCCCGGCATACAAAATATAAGTTTCTGTCATTTTGTCTTGTTATTTGTCATATACGGCCAACGATATCTTAATTTCCCAGCGTATTGGATGCATGCAAAATGGACTAACTAACTAAAATTATAATCTAGGCACAGTTAATTTTGATTAGTATGTATCATTATTCAAGCAAATCGGTAGACTTTCTGTATGTTATGGGTTATTTCGCAAAATATTCCGTATTTCCATTAGTTTCATATGTCTCGTCAGGCATGTTAGTTGTTTGTTAGCAGCTGTTCTTCCTCCAAACCTGGAACTGCTGGGCCGCTTCCAGCTCGAAGCTGGATTGATCGATGACATCTATGAGTGGCGTGAGGACCGCGTCACGTTTGTGTTTGATCCTCTGCAGCAAAGGTCGGAGCCAGTCCACGCTGACCTCGCAGTGGGAATCCAGGAAGACCAATACATCGCCCCGGGCAATACGAGCCCCGGATATACGAGCCAGGATAAGACCCTGACTGAATGAGGTACAAGTATGGGAGAGTCAATACATAATACAAAGTAATTGTGAGTTCTTCTTACTATATGTTAAAGTATTCATCCCAATGAATAATAAACTAATGTAGTTTTACGATTACGATTTAATATTATTTTCAGTATTTTATGATTTTTATTTACCCATGAATGGATTATCGATAAATATATGATCGTAATTCTGCTTTCAGTAAACGTGAAACGGAGTATAACAAAAATGCAGGTTGATTATTGGCTAAAACGTGTAAATAAAAACGTTTAAGATTTATCGACAGTAATGTTGTGTAGAGTTTAAGTATGTTTCACAAGCGAATAAAGTATGAATGAAATAAAAAACAAGATGCGAGAAGTAGCAAGACGTGACAATAGCGAGGCTACACACACACACGCAAAAAAAAACACACACACATAAAGAAGACGTAGATTAGCGTGACGATAGTAATAGTAATGTATACAAGTAATTAAAATTCAGTGCCTGCAAGAAATAAAGTTTATACGATACAAACAAAACAAACTGAAAGTGCTATTGAAAGTGTTCCTCAGGGTCAAATTATAGAGCCACAGCTGTTAATGAACTCTAGTTGTGAAACTGATGCTCTGCACCTGGAATATCACGGGGTCTTGTACGCTGTAGTAGAAGTTGGATGACTCGATGACGTCAATGATGGGGACCACCACCGCGTGGGGGAAGTCCCGGACCCTTTGTAACAGGGGCCTGAGCCAATCCTGTTGGACTTCGCAGTGCGAGTCTAGGAACACTAGGATATCACCACTGGCGTACCTAGCTCCGGCTAGCCGCGCTCGGGTTAGACCCACGCTATGTAAATATTATCACTTGTACATAGATACGACAAAGAAAGGATACTAAAAGATGTTAAAAACATGGACTATGACTAAAGGACACAAAAATAAACATGACAAACTAAACTAGATGACATCTAGATGCTAGATACTACACAGATAACACGAGTATACTTCATCCTACATCTACCCCGTCTAGTCTACACGTGTCAGTCACGTGATTCACCTCGAAGTCAAGGGGATTCCCCGTCTTATATTCAAAGGTGTCCTGCTCTATGATATCAATGATTGGCGTCACGACGACTTTCCTGTCGTCTTTTATCCTCTGCAGGATGGGCCTCAGCCAATCAGTGACCGGTTCCGTGTGTGAGTCAAGAAATACCATGACGTCACCACCGGCCACGGCACTTCCGGATAAACGCGCCCTTGTAAGACCTACCCTGTGTTCATCTAACAATATACTCTTTATACCAAAGATAAATTGAAGTTTTTCCACATCCTACATTTACAAAAATAAGTAATAATCCTAATTCTTGACAAAACATACATTCTCAATGACATCTAAGATTTTCGCGAGTGTTATTTAAATTAAACTAATATTTTTCGGATATACTACGCGTTTTTATTTTTGATTATAAACTACATACTCCCAACGTTTCGGTTACATAATACAGCAACCGTGATCATGAAGACTAGATGTGAAAATTCACAGTACAGTTTAGTACATCCGAAAAATATTAATTTCATTTAAACACATACTTCACGTCAAGCAATCAAAAAAAATGTCAAGAAAAATATTTTCTTACATTATAGAAAATGCCATAAAAAAAATCTCTACAAGCAGAATGTTGGCATTTCACTAAAATAATGATGGCATTATAATGTATAACATGACTCAATTTGATTATAACTCACCGTTGTGGCAGTCTCAATATCCTTATTAAGTCCGGAGGCAAACGGGTCCTTACATAGTGACTCAGTTTTCCTTTCAACTCGGGAAGAGTTGATTTATCATCCACCAGAATAATCTCTTTGAGATAAACAAACGGAGAAGATGGGTCCTGACCCGGGTAACCTGTGAATTACAATACATTTAAGCTTATATTGTTTGAAAACACAATTAAACTGTATACATACAAGATCAATGTTATAATTTATAAATATGATATAGTTTTTTGTATTATTATTATTTAAATACGAAGTATGATAACTATCTTTATATGAAAAATTTAATTCAGCAGTGTAATGGTTAAAAATGGTTAAGAGACAAAGTAACAGCTAAATAGATAGTTATGTTGCAAGCAAGGCAATAAATTACCAATCTTGTGAGCTCTATTTATATATATACTAGCTGAGCCGGCAAACAGTGTTTTGCCATATAAAACAATTGCGGTTGGTGATAAAAAAGTAAAAATTTAGGGTTGTATGTATTTTTGATGTCACATTATAAAAACAAGAAAAAAAATATGGATGAACAACCCTTATGACTTAGGAGTATGAAAAATAGATTTTGGCTGATTCTCAGACTTACTCAATATAGTCTCAAAAAATGTCATGAGAATTGGTCAAACTGTTCAGAGTAATACAGGAACAAACATTGTTACATGTGAATTATATATACATATATGGTAAGTATAACTATTAACCTACCCATCGTCATAGTCCGACTGGACTCTCTGTCAATATCATTAGCCTTCGCAAACCAAGGATTAGTCCGTCGCATACTGTTCAAGACACTCCATATAGTCCGGATGACCACCGAGTAGGGCTCGTTGTGGAATATTAATATCACTGAAGCCGATGGCAGCTCAGCATCATAGATGATTCTTTGACATGCCGGATTACGAAAGTCTGTGACAAACAAATTTGTACTTTGTTATTATTAGTAGAAAGATGAAAGTCTTAAAGCTGGCATTTTAAATTTAATGGTATTTTATTCTTATTTACTCATTGTCTGATAAAAAAATATATGAAATACTATGATAACTTTTTAACTCAACAATATTTCAATATTATTCTTAAAAGAAATTAAGATGTTTATTAAAATGGTGTCAAGTGTTTATCAAAATTATATTGTTAAGTATTAAGTTATAACTTTAAATAATCAGTTCACAAAATAATAATATGGATTTAATTGTTATGTTGACATTTTTATTTTTATCATTAAATATTAAGAAGTAAATAATCTTCATTATTAGAGCAAAATAATTATAAACAGCTTTACACTCGACTGGTCTTAACAATTTAATGATTATAATTCTGTTTCTCCACTTTCATGGCAGTTAATTATCTAGATAAAAAAATAACTACATTTGAGTAAGATGAAATTACACTTGATACATTTTATTTGCAATAACATTATATTTATTACTGTGAAAAGTAATATTTTTAATTCAAGAAAAATATAACTTTAACATTTTAACTCATGAATTTGTCGAAACAATCTATGAGCGAAATAATTTAAACAGGAAACGGTACCGGTGCATTAACGTCGACATACCTTTTAAAGTTCTGTTGTAGGCGATACGGTCACTCAAATAAACATTTATAGCAAGTTTCTTCTCGGATTCCTCTCCAAGTCGTTTCGCTTCACCAGTCAAATATGCTGCGACGCCGCCTTCACCTAGACCAGGAATAATACGCGCTTCGTCTTCCAAAATCTCTTTCTCATATTTGTCTTCCGAGTCATAGGTTTCAGCGCGGGCTGAGCGTTTTCCTCCTCTCCATTGTTCATATAGAGCCAAAATTGTGACCACAATTAACAGAAATAAACCCACTTTTGCCGCATGATAGCACTTACGAAGCGGCAATTTCATTTTTCAACAACAGAATCATGCGTGCACCCGACGGGCGCTTTCTTTGACACTGACGGCTATCGCATATGTTTACAGTTTACCTTTTTAGTTTTGACAGAATGTTTTTAAACAGGAAGGCCGTGAAAAGTTTAAGGTAAACATGTTGCAAGTTCACGTTTTGTTTATTTAAAAATATCGCTGCGAGTTTTGCTTTAAAAATGCAGTAAAGAACTTTAATTATTTGTATAATTGTAACTTTCTTTTGTATGAGTTTCTTAAATATTTGTTTTAAATTTTTACATATTATAACATAGATGAGTGAGTAATGATATGAGTTCGTCTATAAACATATTATTTAATCATGTTTTTTTATTTCAAAAAAGTAGATATCTTTTATATAGAATAGAGAAATATGAAATTTCGTAATATAAAATTTCTTCAATAAAATATTGAAAAATTTTGAGTATTTGTGATCTCGTACAAAAGGTAAAGTTGACTGGGGTACAAATTTTTTAACTTACATACAGTTTAAAACTTATCTAACTGTATTTAAAAGTTGTTATATATATATGTACACTGATTCATATACATTATTGTTATAAAATTTTAAAATGCATCTCATAATTTTTTTTTATAAATTACAATGTTTTACGATGAATTAACATCGTCCTTCTCAAAAGAATTAGGTATTATTAAGAAATTATGTGTTACCATTGTTATACATTACTTTATAGTAACCGAGTGTCGTGTAGATTAAAATCAACTCTTTTAACATACCGTCAAAGTAAAAACATCTAAGAGGTACCGTTAGCAGATACTTTTTGAACATGTCTCATTACAGATATAATAAGACCATGTTGGTTATTTAACTTTTCGGTAAGAATCTAAGTTATGTTACCCGCTAGTCATTGAATCAGCGGACAAGTTATAAACTAAATTAATTAATAGATTCAACGTCAGTTTTCATTGTGCGTGTATTCCTACATAAAATTAATGGATGGAATTTTAATTTTGCTCAATAGTGGCCTTAATTGACTTATGCGTCGAAGTCCATTAGTTCTTTAATTACATAGATGGCCAGGACATTTGAATGGAGAAATTATAATTTAAATTTTTAAAGTTAAGCTCTAATATACAAATGTATAAGAATGTTTTTGTCTGCGTTAAACTTTAGACAAATATCGATAGTTTGAAAATCGTGTACTTCTCTGTACTCAGTTTATGAAATAAAACTGTGTAAATCTCACTACTAACATAGTTATAAACAATAACAATGAGAAATTGCACGCCTTTCTTCACTGTATGCTGTTGTAATTTGTAAGCCGTGAGACAGTATGGGAAAGGTAGAACATAGACACTTTGTAGTGTTTCCACGGTACAAGGAATGCGTTTTGTTAGATTTCGATATAGTTGTTACATAAGCTACATATGATAAAATAAATAAATCTCGCCGCGGCAACATCGTTGTATGAATAAAATATCATATATAACGAGTGACGCCGCTAACTCCGCGGAACATCAAGCCGTGTGAACCAGAAGATTCCTGATACCACACAAGCTATGGAATGGCATTGCTATCCTAACATCGGGTCAATCATGTAGTCTTAGGTGTAGGTTATAAGTTTTAATATGTAATTCTTATTATAATATACATATAAGTAAGTTTCCTAGTTTTTCTTTAATCTCCGGTTGCCACCCTACTTAATTTACCTATATATATTACTAGAAGACCCGGCGAACTTCGTTTCGCCCTATAATCAAGAAATATCTGTTACGTTTTTTTATTTATATTTTTGGAGTTTACCTATTAAAGCCATAAATCTCCGTGTTTTGAAGTGATTAGGAATGATTAATAGTTAATATGAGAGTTACACTGAGCTAGCAAAATAATAATTGTCAACGTTACTACTACACTTGATGCACAAACAATAACGATGGCCGACAACTGTGTAGGGAGTGAGAGAAGTCTAATTGTGTGAGAGAAACAGAAGACCGGCTTCGTTCTCATCCCTACTCCGTGCTGTTTACTGGGTCAGAAGTGACACCTGTAGATATCTGGCGGGAATAACTTATTAAATGACGATTGATCAGTTATCGACCGGAGATGAAAAATGATTAAATTACTAAAATAGCTATTAAAAAATAAGGGTTGATCGTAGAAGGGTGAAAATTTAGGATTGTATGTATTTTTGTACGTTGTATCATAAAAAAATAGTAATTAAAAATTTTGTCTAAAAAATAAAAAAAAAAAATTTAGGGGTGGACTACCCCTAACATTTAGGGGGATGAAAAATAGATGTTGGCCGATTCTCATAGCTACCGAATAAGCACAAAAAATTTCATCAAAATCGGTCAGGTTGTTTCGGAGGAGTATGGGCACGAAAACTGTGACACGAGAATTTTATATATTAGATATTAGATTGTTTGTTACCGAAATATTCTATAGACGTTAAAGAATGGAAACAGTTCCAGTAATGAACCTATATTTAGACAATTTGTCTGTTTGCATTTCTTAAATAGTAAAACATCATATTATTTGTCACAAGTATGAATGGTTTCGACTTGAATTTAACCGCGATATCTGTATATTTTTATCATTAATTTGTCCAAAGGGCACGTGATGAAACATAATAATATCTAGCTGAGAAAAGTATGAGGGTATATTGATAAGTTAACAAGATCTATTTACTAATATGAATGACTTAATGCTAGGATGAAAAATGACGAATATGAACACATACTTAATACGCAAAATAACAGAAAATATAGTTATAACTTTTAAATATTATCTGTGGAAAAAATTTAATGTATCTCATGTTTGTATGAATAATATTTGATTAAGAATCTTTTATTCCGTTCTTTAATACAAAATGGAATAATAAAACTACGATGTTCATTATAAATATTTATTCAATAAAAATCACATAATTTAAAATTCATTATAATTCAAGCGGAATGTCGATTACAACTATAATACAATACTCGAAATCAGATACAGTTCATCTGTAGAACAATGGTCAACTTAGATACGATTACACCAAGTGCACCAATCTACAACATCAGTAGTGTAATTATTTATTTTGTACAGTCTTAGTGGTCTCTTTGAATAGTGCGTCTAAAGAGGTTTGTTGCGTCTTGGTCAGTTTGGCTCCCTTCATGTCCAAGACTTTGTGGAATTCAGCCAAAGTGCTTTCTGGTAACAGCTGAACGAATTGAGAGACGAAGCCTTCCAAATTTCCGTCCAGTGGCGCCATCACTAGTTTTAATATCATCTCCGCTTTCGTCATCAGTTTTATGACGACTTTCGTGTACGTGGTGGGCGCTTGGCGTTTCACCTCTGACCCAATAGATGGCAGTTCTAATAACGCCGTCTTCAACATATGAGTATCTAGCAATAATTGCTCAGAACCCACAGTTGAAATCGGTTTGCATTTATATATATTTTGTATGAATTTAGGTATGAATGAGTTCGCGAATCTTATGCAGAACTGCGTGAAGTATTTCCTTGAAGAAGCGAGGTTGTCTCTCAAATTGGGGACTGTATTCTTTAGGTGCATGATTATTTGCGTTACGTATGAGCTCTGATCGCCCACGTTGTCATAATGCAGCCAGGATATCTTGGTCATGGCTTGAAGCGCTGGTTCGCAAGCTATTTCCAGGTCTTGGACTAAAAGCTGGATGCAGTTGCTGATCATCTTGTGGAACAGGTCCTGCTCGGGCGCCAGGTCTATCTTATCAACTAGTGCTGGTGATATCTTTTCCTTTAACTTCTGTTCCAAGTGTACGGTCGTTTCCAAACAGTACTCGGAGGTCGTGATCACGCTCGTTATTTTAGCGATCTCCTGCTTCGTGTACCTTCAAACAAATGTTATATAATAATATTGATAGAAGATAATTATTTGACATAGTATATTGTAAAAAAAATGTTTTTGTATGTGTTTTGTTATTATATATAACTAGCTTTCCGACCGCGGTTTCGCTCGCTTTGAGTTCGGTTATATCGCGTTTCCAAGAGAACTTTTCAAAAGTCTGGGATAAAAACTATCCTATGTTCTTTCTCAAGGTCAACTCTATGTCTTTACCAAATTTCATTAAAATCAGTTCAGTGGTTTAGACGTGAAAGCGTAACAGACAGACAGAGTTACTTTCGCATTTATAATATTAGAAGGGATAAAACTGCTATTTGATAAATGTAATGTCATTTCTACTAAGTTTAATTAAATTGACATTTTGACTGTGACGTCATAAACTGTCAAATCTATTCCAACTGAACATGAACATGTTGATCCACTTCATATGTTTATATGTTCATTATCTTTAACACAATACACTAGCGCCCTTCATCGGTGTCACTACACAATTAGATGTTAGATACGGGCAAAAACTAAATACCTATATAGTATCTAAACCTAGTACTGCACTTGAGGAGAAATGTTATCTTAAAGCGTGCCTTTTTAAATGTGGTTAGTGAAACCACGAGTTTCTTAGGTTAACCTCTGGAGATTGACCTCTAGACCTCTGTCTCAAGTCTATGATCGTCTCCGAGGATCTTATTAAAAGCCGCCTTTGTCATAAAATATGCTGTACTAATGTATTTTAATTTTTAACCAACTTCAAAAGGAGGAGTATTCTCAATTGGACCATATGCATGCTTTTTTTCTATTTATTGTCCATCTTCCTAGCTAGAAATTCTTATCTCTTAAAATCATTAATCTTTATCCGGATATTACGACATGTATGTATGTCTTCTTCTACCTGGAAATTTCCCGGCTATAGCCAGGGTCTGTCTTACATGTTGTGAATAGTTTTAGCTAATTGTTGAATCAGCATTAATCAGTGATGTCTAAATACTCTTAGAATGTAATCTATGTATGTATGTATATATCTATATATGTATATGTATATAGTTACCTAACAGCATCATCTCTTAGCAGTGTGTGTAGTCCCGTGACGAGGGCGGGCAGGGCAGGCGCGGCGCGCGGCAGGGCGGAGGACAACACGCTGCCTGCGTACTCACGGAGATACGACGAAAACACCGTGGACAACTCTAGAAGAGAGATTGATATAAACATTATAGAATCTGAGACTAATATTTTGTGAATATACTATAGTCCGTTAGACTTAAGCTGAGCTTTGCATTTGTGTGAGTGAAAGTAAAAGTAGAGTTAGACAAAAAACTTTAAGAATTGCATTTGATTATATTTTAAATAGATGCATAACAAAAGTGTTATAAAATAAGCAAAACTTGTAGAAGGCAAGATGGAAATATTATGAATATTATAGAAAGAAACAATATTAATTAATAAAAAATTTGACATCACACCTACATTATCCGTGTACACTCACACAAATGCAAAGCTCAGCTTAAGTCAAACGCACTATACGCGACTTTATTTTTGATAAAAACTACATACTACAAGTATATTGTCTAGTAAATCGTGATGGCCTAGTGGTTAAAAGATCCGTCTCTCATGCACGGGGGCGCGCGGGTTCGATACGTGGCAAGTACCAATGTGATAGATCCGAGTCATATGTACTTTCTAAGAATATTTACACGCCGCTGATAGGTAAAGGAAAACATCGTGATGAAACCTGGACTTCATCAAATTATAAGTTTGAAATCACCAACGCGTCTTGAGCGAGCGTGGTGATAATGCTCAAACCTTCTCTATGTGAGAAGAGGCCTTTACTCAGGGCTCTAATAGGCTGATGATGATTATGTTAAAAATGATCCAATTAAATGTATTCATACAATATGTCATTCATTCTTTCAACAAAGACGCTTCTTCCATCATTTATGTTGCTTATTCAACAATATCATATTTTATAGTTTAGACATAAAAGTTGTAATTACAAGGACATTCTTAGTCTTTTATAATGATGATCTTTTACTGTATATATGTTGTTTTTTTGTTACCTAACATAGGTTCTCCAGTAGAGAGCGTCGCACACTGAGCCAGACACTTCTTATAAAACAGGAACAGGTCCGCACACGAGGACATAACAGCACCCGCGCCGCTGCCCACCGCGCTCGACACGCTATCTGGACTTTTGGCATCCTGGAAAGATTATGTTTAATATATATACATATTATATTAAATAAAAATCATTTCTATTTTATGTTAATTTTCTTATATGTATGCGTTTCTATCTATTATGCTTATCGAGAAAAGAGAATGGAGAAAGTGGAACTATATATTGGCGACACATGTCATTCATCCACGGAGATGTATAAACGAGTCGAGGTTTTTTGTTCGATAGCCCAATCTTGAGTGATTTTTATCAAAGAAAATATTGAAATTTTAGTCTTGGAAAACGGAATCCATTTCCAAAAAAACCGGTTCCATACTGAAACCCTGAGGTTGCTTCACTCAACTTGTACTAAAAGCTATTTTTAATCATCTCCTATTATATATATGTATAATATAATAATTCTCTTTGGTTCTAAATTTAGATTAGGTAAATATGAACCTGTGTGTGTGTGTGTGTGTGTGTGTGTGTGTGTGTGTGTGTGTCCGTGTGTGAGTGTGTGTGTACCTGTATGAACCTGTCCATGAGCCCCCGCAGGTTCGCGTCCAGGCTGGTGATGTACAGCGACAGGTGGGACTCGAAACACGAGCCGATCAGACCCACCCACGGGGAGCCTTGACGGAGAACAACACCCTGTATACATATACAACAATTAAACTAATTATACGAAAAAATACCAACATTCTGAAGAAGCAAATTAAATAAAATATGATTATATCAAATATATACATATATAAATTGGAATAATAAATTTTTTTTATTATTATATAATCAAGTGATATTGTGTTTTTATACAAGCATATTGTAAATAGATCATTTTATTATATTATGTTCAGTCAATCAGCATAACCTATCATACATAACTCAGTTACATATCCAACAAATTTACTACAATTTTATGGGACATAAAAAGAAACTATACAAAAAATGTTCTTCTACTCCCCTAACTTCTGAGTACAGACATCCAAAGTACAACAAACTTAATATCAAGAGCTCACCGTTTCTTCATCATCAAACACAAGCTGATGTTCAGGAGACAGATCCACGGCATCACTACCGACATCCGTACCTGGAACATTACAAATATAAATAAGTTAGTATTATACAGGGTGACTGGTGAATTACTATCAATACTTGAGGACGTGATATTTGACGATCATATATGACAAAATAAAAATTCATATAACATAAATATTAATAAACTTCTAAGTAAAGTTAACCAAAAGATATGTAATTAATTACGCATCGTGTGAACACCCTACAGATTAGGTATACACACACACTCACACATACGCGTGCGGCGGCGTGGTGTTGTATCAGCACGCCGCCGCACGCGTCCACACTTGGAACACTTGGAACGTGTCAACACTTTATTTATTTATACGGAAATTTTGTCAAAAATTAAGTGCCTATTTTTTTTACATAATTCGAATGAGAATCATGTACCGAGTATTCTCCTTAAATATTGATAGTAATTCAACAGTCACCCTGTATATATATATATATATATAAATCATTGTACATATAGAAGAACTCTCTAAACAAATGATTCAAAATTAAAGATACATTAACATATTTAATGATGAATGAAAAGACTTATTATATTTCTATGAGATTAAAAGTAAAATAGGGTTTACTATATCATTTCAACTCATTGAGTTCAGAATATAGGTTCTATCTACAGAAAATACTACTTTTCCATAATATATACCTGCTATATGGTATAGTAAGAGTATATACCTATAAATCTCTTGTGCAATAACACTTCAAAGTTATAAGTCTTCTGTATAGCATACAATAACAACTTGACATCCAGCTCACTTCGCCGAGCCTGTAGCAGGTCACTGAGAGCCTTGTGTGTCACCTGATGAATGAACATGATATTGTGTTAATATAAGATGATGAGACATTTTCAAAGTTTCTGTATATAAGAAAATATTATAGCTTTTTATACTTATATTATGATTTGAATGATGTTTGTATTAGCAGTTTTAATGACAACAACTATGTGGCATTGATAATCAGTAGATTATTTTAAGAATATTCTCGATATTAATATTATTGAAGTTTTTCACATTGTATAAAAATGTTAATTGTCCTTATTCTTAACTTCTACCAATTAATTATATGGTAGAAGAAAAACTGATTCATGATTTCCAGAAGAAAAATAAATATTCCCCATACTAGATAAAACGTATTTTCCAGAAACATTCTATATACAGGGTGTTATGTTGTCCAACCTTACAGAACCGATGCGCCAGTCGCTCGCTCATCCTCCAGGCGGGAGGGAATGTCAGCGCGAGGGACTCTTCGAACCTCAGCAGGTGTTTCTTGAGCCAGGTGTAGCGACGCTCCACGTGACACACCCACGCCTGCTCCTGCTCCGGAGAGAATAAGTGCTCGTACTCCTGGGAATAGAAGTATGGTGTTACTTGAAGTATAGGACAGTTTGGACTTAAATTTGGATAGATAGTTAGACAGGTAGATAGATAGATAGATAAGATTTAGACTTTTAACTAATCCTACTAATATTATAATTGCGAGAGTTTGTGAGTGTGTGTGTGTTTGTTACTTCTTCACGCTCAAACGGCTGAACCGATTTTAATTTTTATTTTGTATACAGGAAGCTGACGTCCAGGACGTATAACACATAGGCTACTTTACATCCCGGAAATCTCGGAAATCCGCGGGTAACACCGTGGGTCGCAGATATTATTCATTTACATGTAACTAGCATTATATTGCACGGGCACGAACAGATGAGATGTGATCACGGTTGCTGAAAAGTAACCGAAATATCCTGAATATATAGTAGTTTACAATAATTAAGTACGCGTAGTATATACGATAACTATTAGTTTAATTTTTGTCTTAAAAACTGGTTGATATAATTCCTGAAACGGCCGAATCTTTATCATTCTACATTTTAGTTAGCATAAAAAAAACGCCATCAGACTTAGAACTAAAAGATTAATCATCAAAGGAAGTTCAAAGATTTCTGTCTTCATACCTGTAGTTGCATATCAATGAACCATTTGAGTAGTTCCTTTCTGACGCTCGGTTCCAGTACATCCACTACGCCGCACGCCTCCGCCAGCATGCGAGGAGATACGCTACTCTTACCACCACCTGGGAACAACAAATGAAACTAATACCATTGAAATTAGACTTTATTGATATACATTTAAAGATCAAAGTTACTTTTCCATGTTTATATTTTTGTAAATGTTTTTATTGCTGTGGAGACGATTTCTTTTGAGCCTTTATTTAGATGTGTGTGATAGTATTGCACATTGTTTTTTGATAATCATAGTCCTAATTGGTTTCCAAAAACCCTTTCAAGACTTTATTGATCTAAGATCAAAGTCATAATGAAAATGCTATACCAGTCAGGGCTTCTTTGAAGTCAGCTAATATCTGCTGAGCCAGCATCGTCCTGATGCCGAGCACCTCCTCCCTCAAGGCGTTCAGTTCTTTAATATCCCGGTAGCATTGAAGCTGATCTAACACCTGTAAGAAACAATTTATAAAACTAAAGTAAGGTTTTGAATGAAATATTAAATATGATTAGGAAATTGATGCTGCAACTTACACAATAATGTGTAATAGTTACTTTTCCTATTTAGCCATAATGTTGTTATTTTAGTTCTTAAAAGTAACTGTTATATTGGAGAAGACATCCTACTAATATTATAATTTCGAAAGTTTGTGAGTGTGTGTATGTTTGTTACATCTTCACGCGCAAACGGCTGAACCGATTTTGATAAAATTTTGTATACAGGAAGCTGACGTCCAGGAATAACACATAGGCTACTTAACATCCCGGAAACCCGTGGGTAACACCGCGGGGCGCAGCTAGTATAAATATATTTTAGTTTAGTAAAAATTTTAATGCTGGTAACCCTAACCTCCATAATAGCTTGCAATGGCAACACCAGTTCCTTGTAACGTCTATTATCAGCCAAGGTCCTGAGCGACGCGGCCCCACCAGCCAACATATGTAGATGATTCAAGGCTGTGATGGCTCCGGTCAGGTTCCACTTGGCACAGTCCAGTTGTTTGATCTCCGATGTTATTTCGCGGACCATGCTTTCACTTCGTTCAGCTTTTTTGTTTATATCTGCGACCTGTAGAAATGTATGTTTATATCAATATACTACACTAGTTTGTGCCTGCGACTTCGTCGATGTTCATTTCGGAGTTAATAATGTGTAGCTGACCGGGCGATCTCTATTCCATGATAGAGGTCATAAACAAACTGATCTCAGAATTTATTAAGTATTTTCTTTTCTTTTTTGATCAAACAGAATTAAATATCCTATATCTGTGTTCTAGTTTTAAGCTACTTTCCCACCAATTCTCAACGATATGTCTACAGCCGTTCTTGAATTATTCATAGTGTAACTAACATGACTTTCACATATATATTTAGAAATTATGAAATTTCTTTGAAGTGTAGTAGTTTCTCAGCAGTTATCAGAGGATTTACACGTAATAATTAAGTTTATATCTCTCAGTAGTAAGATAAAAGTTGGTAAAAATGGTATTTAATGGTGACTTGGTGACTATCAAACTGCCAGTTAGTTGGTATTCATGTATACAGACAACATACTAACATTATTTTAGTACTAAAGGTTTGTATTAAGCAACACAACATGTGTAGCAAGTTGAAATATATGTAAAGTTGTGATTTGGTTAATTGTAAAATAGTCTAATGAGTAGAGTATATGATTCAAACATATCAGAATTTAACATAAATGTAGTTGAAACAAAAATATTAACAAAGTTTGTAATTTCTCTTTAAAGTTGAGGAATAATGATTTGTATACCTTTTCATAATAATATTTTTATTTATTTATTTTTGTACCAACAAAGTATACAGTATATTTTTATCTTGCTCTAAGTTATAAATTTTAGGGAGTAAAATTACATATTACTTACTCATCAATGTCATTACCTAGATATTGCTCAATAAATAAGAGATTTCGTAGTTTCACCTGTAAAGCCAGTTCAGCAATACATTTCTGAGCGTCAAGTAATGCTTCGTGTCCGGCCATTCGCTGATCATGCTGTGCACGGACCAGCCTCCGAATGTCATGCTGTACACTGGCTAGACGAAACTCACAACGGGCTGCCGCTGATTCCACTCCTGATAGCGACTGTTCAGTAGGGAATACACGGTTGATGTAGGCTACGGCGTCAAACTGAAATGTCCATTATACTTTATAACCACGAAGTTCTCTTAGGTAAAAAAGAAGTAGTCTAAGAACATTTTTAATCATGATACATACTTCTTCACTATCGAACTGTTCCGTTCCTCCCATTAATTCTTCTATCCGGCTCATAACAGAACCGGGTAAATTAAGCTGGACCTCAGGACCGCTGTCCTTGTCTTCTAATACCTCAGTGGAATCCATTATTGTATAAAACACTCGCTCTTTTCATTTATTTTCACAATAATAATATCCTAATGCTTATACATCATTTTTTATTTATCGTACTCTGTCATATTTGGGATGTCAAGTGTCAACTGTCAAAAGACATTAAGTTACAAAATCGAATACTAGTTTAAAAGTGTAAATGAATATAAGTTTTTATAAAAACGATTTGATCTGTGATTACGGATTACTGCTATATTAAAATTATATATACATATTTATGTAATCACCCGCATTTTCTTAAAGTTTGTCATCAATACTTAATAGTGTTTATATATATTTTGTTAGTACGAATATCAAATCTAATTTGACATTCATTTATAACAATATCGTTCTGTTCGTCCATTGTTTTCTTTTCAGTTTTTTCCACGCGTTTGTTGCGCGCGGTTGTGTTTGTGTTGGAGCTACGATGAGCGGCCACGACCTCTCTCCGATCTAACCCTTGTGTATAAAGTTTTCATTGTTCAAGTGTTGTGAAATGCAATGGCACGTTTAACGGAAGAGATGGTGATCGCTAGATCGAAGCAGTCGGATCTTAGTGCAATCAAAAAGCTAAATTGTTGGTGAGTTTCCCAGGAGTTGGTACAATTATTTCTGTTCTATCACACTTGGAAGGGTGATTAGGGCTTCTTAACGTTCCGCTGTTGAACTCGCGGTTAATAACCCGAATTCGTCAGTCATTCTAAGTGTTTCCAGTCATTAAATGTCATAAGTATTGCGTGAGATAATGCATCGGTAATGAATTCTCAAATACCTGATAGGCGATTCTATTGTGTTGATTTTGATGTTGTGCAAATCGTATTTCGCTATGTAAGGCCAGAAGTATTGTTACAACACTGTATTTTGTAATAACCAACTAGTTAGTTACTACGTAGATTTGTTATCGCGGTTATATTATTGTTTTAACATGATTACATTTATTTACACAGCTATTCAAATAGAAGACTTCTCATACGTATCTGATACTTATTGGAGACCAACAATTACAATTAAGAAACTTATAATTTTTTTTTAAATGATGATGTAAGAAGGTTAAAAATATGGTCAAATATATGATTCAAATTGTTTGAAATAGTGAATCATAGAGCACATGGAACTTAATTAGCATAAATTAAAATGTTTTTTTGTCTTCATTATAAGCTGTCTGTGTGCAAACAGTAGCTTAGAAAGTTGATATGAATTGTCAATGTTATTTGTGAGAGGAAAACTTTAATTTTCTATAAATTATGTAACTATTTGAAGTTTCAAACAAATTAATACTTTCTCTTACACACATGGAGCAATTTTTTTAATATTTCTTGGCGATATACAAACTTTTTACTGATATTTTATAAGTATAAACTTTTTACTAATGTATTATTTGTTTTCATGTATTATTACTACAATTAATAGCTTAATGGATTAAATGAAATTTTGAATATATTTTATGTACAATGTTGGAATTACTTTTTATTTCTTTATAAAAATTCTCAGTATAGAATCTATTATATTTTATATATTGTAAAAAAGGAATTTATATGCATATGTTAATAATTTGTGTTATGATTATTTTTCTTGATACTATAATAGCAAGAATTCATTTCATTATTTGTGACTTGTATACTTGTACTGGTTAAATTCTTTGAAAGCAACATATTTCATTTTTATAGCTGTTATTAAGAATATGTGAGTAATACAGAGTTTTGGCAACATTTCTGTTCATACATGCCATAGTTGGCTTTGAAAAATTATAATGTTTAACGGTCAGCATTTAGTACAAAAGGTATTGAAGTCCCGATTGAAGCAATATTTAACTAACTAGGTACTTGGATATTTGGTCGAGAGTAATTATTTGGCATAATTTATCATTCATAATTATGTAATATATATTTTTTAAAACCTTTTTTTGAGAAATTTTTAGAATATTAGTCTTGATATACTTGATCAATAACATTTTATTATGAAATGTTTTCCTAGTTACAAAATATAATAATACAGTGTTTCTCAACCCTTCTTTATCTTATATACATTCAATATGTAATGTTAGAATATAACTAGTTCTTTGCCTTGGGTTTATGCATTAAAAGTTGGACCATTTTTGTGAAGAATTTTACCTGAGTAGATAATTTTGCATCATTTAATGATTTTATTAATTACTAGCTTTTGCCGCGGCTTCGTCCGCGTGGAATAGTGGCTTCCGGCAGATTTTTGGTACTTCCCACACAGTTCCCGTTCTAGCGGGATTTTCGGAATGGTGGAGTTCCCGTAGAATTTTCAGGATAAAACTAATTTTTTTTTTATTCACAATGAAGTACTCTTAACCAACAACATATTTATTTGTTTATTTGAATAAAGATTTATATTATTTTGTTGATACAACTTAAACAAATTATATCGACCAAATTACAAATTTAAATTAGGTACCATAAAAACGGTTTTTGTGAGTTAATCTTAAAAGACAGACATATACTGTCGCGGACTGTTTTTTAGATCATTAAAAGAGCTATTATTCTTTAATACATATTTTTGTGTATCTTGAACCGTTTTCACAGTGCACGCAACAGAAGGCTTCAAAGATGAAATAATTTCTCCCGTTTTTTACACATTTACCACTATATCTTTGCTCCTATTGGTGGTAGCGTGATGTTATATAGCCCACAGCCCTCCTCGATAACTGGACTATCCAACACAAAAAGAATTATTCAATTCGAACCAGTAGGTTCGGAGATTAGCGCTTTCAAACAAACAAACAAACAAACAAACTCTTCAGCTTTATAATATTAGTATATTAATTATTATTCAGTATAACTGATTTCTATAAAATTATAAGTTTTTCATATAGTAAAAGAAACCACATATATGTATATATTGTATGAAAAATTTGCTAATATGTTTACATTACATAATCTTAATATTTATCTTGTTTACTTTTTAAATGTTTTTTTATTAACATGTATAAAGTAATTTGTAAATTTATCGCGTGTCAAGATTTAAGTTTTGTGTGTAATATAAAATTATTTGCGTGTCTAAATGTTTTCGCGTGATGCGTGTTCGTGTGTGGCGTCCGTCACGTCATTCGCGTCGCCACGTCATAAAAGTCGTGACGTATGTGTACACGACGTTGTAAAGTAAACAATAATAAAGATTAAAGATAAGTGTTAGTGTTCATTTAAATGAAACTAATAATCGGATTATTACGCGTTATTTATTATGTTAAAAACTACATACTCCCGACGTTTCGGTTACTTTGCAACAACCGTGATCACGGGCAGACGAGAAGTCATTTAGTTTATAAAAGTAATAATATAGGCGTTTCATTAAAATATCTGTATTCTTAACACAAGTTTTGCATCGTCACACTACATACGCAGCGTTAACAGTATTAACGCGTTGTTTTCAGTATCTCCATGCCAACTTTCGGTAAATATTTCAGATTTATGAATACTGTCAATTAATCTTGTAACATGATATTATCAATGTATTATGAGTGATACGGAAACTGTAAACACTACGTTTATAGTTTGATCCTCACTCGTACTTAGGGTACGGATGTTAATTTTATAAATAGCACATGTTTATGTGTGTGGTAGTGATTGTATTTCTAGACAGATCAAGTTGAAATTGCTGCATGTGTTTCCGTGGTATATTTCATATGTATACAGGGTGACTGGTGAATTACTATCAATACTTTAGGACGTGATATTTGACGATCATATATGACAAAATAAAAATTAATATAACATAAATATTAATAAACTTCTAAGTAAAGTTAACCAAAAGTGATGTAATTAGTTACGCATCGTGTGAACACCCTACAAATTAGGTATACACACACACACACACACGCGTGTGGCGGCGTAGTGTTGTATCAGCACGCCGCCGCACGCGTCCACACTTAGAACACTTGGAACGTGCCCACGCTTTATTTATTTATACGGAAATTTGGTCAAAAATTAAGTACCTATTTTTTTTACATAATTCGAATGAGAATCATGTACCGAGTATTCTCCTTAAATATTGATAGTAATTCACCAGTCACCCTGTATATTATAAGTTGAACTATCTTTGTATGTTTGTATATAAGTTGGTATCATTTGTTTTCATTAGCGCTAATCATTAAGGCAGACTACACATGATATAACCATTTGTTTAAATTAATCCAGTTTCCGTCTGTAGCTATCCTTATATCGGATGACTTTATTGTGACCTGTTATCCATTTCTTTATATTACCAAATTTGTCAAACCACTAATGACACATAATTCTGTTCAAGTTAATTCGTCAAAGTTTGTTTTTAAACATAATTGACGAACTATTAGTGGTCGTATTTTGATATAACTATGTGTTTTTACTAATAACTCAGTCGTTAAAACTCATTACGTCTAGTATTCAGTCAAAACATGTAGTAAAACGTGTATGTATGTTTATCACATGAAATTAATTACTCTCCTTACTACGGTGATATCTTTATCAGTGATAATACTAAGTCGTATTTCCACGGATAATCGGCTACATAGAATGCTGATACCATACAATCCCAACTAATATTATAAATGCGAAAGTAACTCTGTCTATCTGTTACGCTTTCACGCCTAAACCACTGAACCGATTTTAATGAAATTAAGTACAGACATAGAGTTGACATTGAGAAAGAACATAGGATAGTTTTTATCTCAGACTTTTGAAAGGTTCTCTTGGAATCGCGACATAACCGAACTCCACGCGGGCGAAGCTGCGGGTGGAAAGCTAGTTAAACATATAGTCCATTTCAATAGAAATTCTCAATTTTGTAAACAAAGTAACTGACCACGATTACTCAGTTCTTACGTACAATGGAATATCAGTTCTGATAATAATTACATCTCAATGAACCCACCAGTGTTTTAAGTCTTTTTATCATTAAACAACTGTATATATATGTTTATTTTATAAAACTTAACTGTTAATTTTAATACTATATATACCTTCTTCTTCTACTTGGCAATTTCCCAGCTTTAGCCA